GTCTCACCCTCCAGACGAAACACAGCTAATCAAGAAGCTATTGAAGTCAATGAACTCGGACAACTGTAAGAAGTCTATATCCTACCTAACATATTCACTATATGTTTAACCACTTGATAGAATAGTGACACTTATCTACTTTCTGTTACATTTATATTGGTAATGTTAAATTTAATTCTCCTAATAATAGTAAACCTATATTTCAAATCATAAATTATAGCAGATGTCTTGAATACAGTTCACAACATGCATGTTGATATTATGTAATAGTATATATACTGGGTATCTTCACGTCATTGGGTATGTCAGAACCATTATGAACACGTAACGGTATCTGTCTTAATTTATGTGTATTTAAAACCATTAGTCCTAATGTTTCTTTATATTCTGCGCCTAATATTAATGTAACTAATGTAATTTAAAACACACACTTATCCATGTGGAAGAGTTCGCTTGATGTTCGCTTGATGATGTTGAAAAGATGTTCGCTTAAGGAATTCTATAGGAACAGAAAAGGTAGCTTTCTTATTTTGTTTTAAATCTTTCTTTTTCTGGTACAAATAGTTTAAAAAATAAAACAATAAAGAGATTTTATCTTCAAAACTGGCTTCAAAATTAACATGTTAATGTGCAATGAGCGTGGCATGAGTCAGCCTTCTTTTTTCTAGTATTACTACCTAATCGTGGGACCATTTTTAATTTTTAATATTTTGAATTTAAATTTTATAGTCATTACCAAAAGAAATTATTAACCTCTCACTTATGTATTAGGACTATCATAATTGCCATTCCAGTTAGGCAAAGAACGCAAATGATTGTTTTCCAAAGTAAGATTAGAAAGGATAAGAAAAGGAAACGGTTTCTAAGGTGCTAAATACAAGCATAGATCGAATACACACAGAAATAGACAAATAAGATTTTCGTGTGGCGGCGGTATAATAACAGTTTGATCAGAAAATTATAATGTGTAATAAGTACTTAGTTATCAGTCGTTATGACGAATATGACAGTTCCAATTCAATTAACATTATATGATTATTCAAATGTCTCGCAATAGAACGAAGTAGAATAAATTTATTAAAAATAACCGGCATAGGAGCCACAGGAGGAAGTATGCACATAATATCGACGTAGGTGTCTATAACGTTTTGCGCTGTTACATTTAAATAAGATAACAACACTCGTAGGAAGGTTCACTGGGTAACACTTGCGACTTATTTATTGCTGCGTCAGACTATATCCCTCCTGCATATATGTAACAATATTATTTTAGGTCGCCTTAGGGAATGTGCCACTATCATGCATGATGAACCACTTTATTTGGCAAACGTTCCATTTACTCGTACGCGTTCAGCTGGCATAAATAATAAATTTTTACTCAAATATTCAAAATGACGATAATATGATACAGATTTATATACATGTGTTTTTTACTAGCGATATAGTAAACAGTATTAAGAGAGGAAATAACTCAAAAAGTTATTCTACAAACAATGTTTTGTTTAACCATTTATTATTAACTTAGCGATAAGATTGTCTTTTGTTTTTTCGTGGCTATCTCTTTTTATTAAATCAAGTATACAAGGAAATGCATTTTTCAAATAAATATAGTATAATAATTTTCTTGGAAAATACTTATTTAAGTCATTGCTACAATCATTATCAACGTGATTTGCACAGCCTGAATAGCTTAATAAATCTTGGTCATCAAGATTTCAAGTCTGTACCAATTAAGTAACGAATGTTTGTCACTCGAACCCAATAAACTCAGTCTCTCGAACTTATAACTAATTCATCAATGTCCATGACCCCATTGAGATAGTCAACGCCTTTATAAAGTATCTTTGTAATATATACTGGCTACAATATATACAACAATGTAATACTAGTGTATGTATATTTAAATTAGTCATAATATGTAGAGAATCGGTCTACACATGGGTCTAAAATTGATAAAATAATCAAAGCATTATAAATAAATCGAGGACGATTTCTTATAAGAAGTGCCTCCATCATCATTTTTGACATGATTTTACTCCCATTACAACTACTCCAATAGTGCCCTCCAATTTTAGTGTTGTGCATAGGCCGTTTAATGACAATTCTACTGAGTTTTGTAAATATGAAGAGATACAAATATACCTGTTGTAGGTTAAGTTGCCGTTTTATCAATTTCATCTTGATTTTCTCAGACTATTTCATTAAAAGTCAAAATATGTACATATAAATGTACAGTTATAAATGACGAGCAATCATATAATTATAAGTAATCATATAATTAAGTAATTAAAAAACATTTATTAACATGTATTCATTCTAATATAAAAATGCGAAATTATTTCGCAACTAAATTGCTGAATAGATGTTATTGAAATTTAAAATGAAAGCAATATGATTTTTTTTTTGATAAAATTTATAGACTAACTTTTATCAAAAAAAAATCATAGTCTCCGTCTTCATGATAAAATCTGTATTATTATTTTCAATATACCTAAATATACATACATATTCCGAATATAGACCGTAACAAAAATATTTAATGCTTATCTACCATGTTTTATATATATACACTCTCCATCATATATGTATATATACTCTTCATGTTTTATATGTTGGAACCCTGTTTCCTCAATACATGCAAGTAACAAAAAGACGAAAATTATATTATAAAAAACTTTAAGTGAAGGATGGATAGATGTTTTGTCAGTTTCCATGGTATAAAGTCAATTTTCATAGCATCTGCCATACCCATTGATGTATTGCCACAGTATACATATGTGAGCATTGTTGAAATAACTATTTATGACGTATTTAACGATTTTGTAACTAAAAAATACCTTAAATATATAATGGTGTATAATTAGCCAATAAACAAAACATGCAACAACGCCAATGTTGGGCTGAAATTGTTAGTCAAATTAAAGGTGTGAATTTTTTTTTTAAAATATGTCAGTATTACTCATTAATGTATTATGTACAAGTTATACGTATATTATGAACTATCAAAGCTCTTCATTGTTTATTTTAGCACTACATGTTACAGCTATATTTGTTTGAAAATTCCTATAGAATCTCTTTGATGTTCATACACCTGAGATACAGAACCTATCATCTTAAGATGTTACTGCATTCATAAACAAACGTATTTTCAGTTTATTACCTTTCTGGTGATAATTTGGCTATGAAAATTGACACATTATGAAAAGGGTCGAACATTCAGGGTATTACGTGTGTTCCAGTGAATCAAATGTCATTCCTTTCTCGTTTTGATAAAACGTGTCGCGTCGCACCCTTTCTTATGATCCTAATATTTATTTCTGTCTATCGTTTATTTCGAGTATTCCTTCTCATATAGATATAGTCATGAGCTATAGTCAGCTGTTAATACATCCATTCCAAATCATAGCATAATATGAACACAAAACCTTAATAATAAAACTGGCTTAGTACCTATATATAACACCACATACATTCTTACATTGTTATTGTATGTCATATATACATATATATTGTTTAAGAATGATTGAGAATTGACTTTAAATGTTCTATGAAGTTTATTTAACCACATACAAAAAACTAGGTTTTTACTCTTTTAGTTTTTAAGGCTAAATGTTGCCTAAGTCGATTCTCGTGATACAATATGTCTTCATGTCAAACATTAATATCTGTTCAGCTGTTAAGTCACGAAACTCTATGAAAATCGCTATAACCACAGAGGAAATATTACGACACAACTGTGAGGAGATTGACGATTAGTTGTAGGTATAAGTATTGAAGTCCCTTTTATATCATCACTGTTAATAATAGTCTAAACTGGCAATCTTGTAATATATGACATTTGCAGAATGTTAAACGAATTGTAAAGAATAAATTGTAATATACGCATTATAATGTATTTTAATTATTATTGACATTGTACCTATGGGAAATATTGTCTCATCTTAATATTAGCAATGAAAATCTTCCAACGTAATGTTTATGTAAACAGTTGATATTAACTGTTTCCATATAGACGAACTGTAAATATTTATGCAAGCAATGGTGTTATGAAAGAATGTATCGAGCTTCGATCATAAACATTACTATATTTTTGATTTAGTTAAAACTATGAAACAACAATGAAATGATCTCTCTAAAAATAAATGTAACAGTATTGAATACTGGCAACAATTGATGAATTTCTATTTTCTTATTACACGTCCATTATTTTCTCCTTAGGAATTATATTTCCTCTTATGAAATTAACTCATATATGGGATTTATTATCTGGATGAAATCTGACATGGAGACCAGATCGCTCTATGGGTAACGAGCGGGTACTGCCGGACTCCTGCCAGCTAAAACCCCAAGGTGTATCTCTACCTTGCTTATTGCCCGAACTACGGGTGTGCGTGAGCAATGAGGTTTTAGATAGTTCAACGATTATCAATCAATTATCCCCTTTATGATATTTCAATCGATATATATATATAGGCACATAATTACAATTTGCAATTTAATACTAGAGTAAATCATAACAAGCTAAAAATCCCAGATTCAGATTTATTTATTTAGTAAATAAGGAGATGCAATTAGGTACCACAAATAAACCTGCCAAATTGTTAAGATAATAACGTGAAAGTACATTTTTCGGTATTATATAATTCCACTAAGGCTGTGCAAGTAACCCTTAATTAAACTATTTTACTACAAATATGAAAAAGCAATTCATATTACCTTCTATGTTTCAATACTACATGTGTAAATACGCAATATAAATTTATTCGAAACCTTACTACAATCTTTGAGGAATCACTCACAAGACAACAATGTTACACATTTTGTTCAGTTGTAAAAGCAACTATGATCTACACAATAAAGTATATTTTAAAATTACAAAGTAAATCTAGGAATACATATAAATGCAAATACATTTAATAATTTCCGTTACATTGCCTATTTAATTCATATGTGGTTAGACTAGATACATAATATAGGTATGTATAATTAATACTGAGAAATCAGTTGTTTTTTATTCCTTGTCCTCCGTATACTGTTTGCAGCAAAGCAAAATATGACCAAGATCTCCCCATTATCTGAAATTTATTGGACTGTGATATAAAGTGGGTATAAATATGTAGAGCAAAGAAAATAACTTGGAAAAATCTTAAAAAAGAAAACTATATACGGTAAAGACATTATTAATACAAAAAAAATTACGTTCATAAGCGGTTAGAATGTCCTACATGAATTGACGGGCTCGGTAGTCTAGGGGTTTATCGCACCGCTTTACTTTCGTTAGTCACGGATTCGATCCCTCGCACGATAAAAAGATTTGTATTTGTGAAAATAATTGTTTGTACCCGGGTGGGTTTGACTCTGGGTGTGTTATATTTGTAATAGTATTTCTATCAGTTGTCTAGTACCTATAACACAACCTTCACAACTTAACTTGAGTCTAGAATTTGGTGCTGTTTGAATGTCTAGAGTTCTCTGCCGCCTTGCAGTACTTCTCTCGCTATCTCGGATGCTATAAGACATCGTAATTGTGAAATACTAAGGCGTAATTACTAAGTCCTTATTATTATTATCTATGTTAAAATCTAAAACCACTATTTTATCCTAGTTTGAACCTGCATATCTTGCTGGACGTGCTTAACCAGTATTCATGTCACTAAACTATCGTTTCTAGAATATACTTGTATACTGACGACCCCTTCGAATTTATTCGTTACAACATTATGTCACTTGGCGTCAATGCATTACGTAATCTATCAGGGGTGTAAAAATAGTACCCGTCAAACAATGTATATATGTATTGTACGGAGGGAAATTAATTATATACGTATATATATTGCGATAGCTGCATGGTTAATAAAATATATGCATAAATTACATATAACATAATTATGTACATCGCTGCATATGACGATTCAACACTTGATAATTAATTGCGAATATCATTTATTTTTTTAATTATAATTGGAACAGTAAACAAGCTAATAGCTGGCTAGTAAATGGTAATCATAAACAAGAACAGCTCCACGAATATTACGTGACCATGTGACCCCATGATACAAAGAGAAAGAGATATGTCATACCATACTCATACTACATTTTAGACTATTTATCTATGTCTAAGTAAATCATACAACAATACATTTTACAATATTTCTATAACTGAACAAATTCGACAGCATTCTACTCTAAACCTATTAGACGTAGACTTATCTTGGTTTTGCAATATAATCTTACATGTTTAAAATAGAACCAAGTGCTAAATATTTCTATGCTTATTTATATACAACTCTTGATTCATTTTAAGCGTAGATATAGGCGGATTCCGGAAACTCATGGCTCATCCCTCAGTACATGATCTATCTGAACATGATAGGCCAACGTAAACCTGTCGATAACTGCATCCTTTCACTTTCGCATTACATTCTGTTTTATCATCTATATTTTTTGACATGTCCGAATTAAAAAAGCAAGCAGGCAGTTATGAAGGATAACTGGCTGTTTCGGTAATCTAGCGGTAAACCGCAAGAGCACCTTATTTTCATTGTCGCAAGTTCGGTTCCTCGCGTGGTACAAAAAATTTGTATTTATGCTTGATTGTCCATGTGGGTGTGGGTGTTTTCTATGTATAATATGTATTTATTTACAAAAAAAACAAGCTCTGCTTAGCTTGGGACTAGTAGCGGTGTGTAAATTGTCCAGAGATATTATTATTAAAAAATATATTTTAGGATAGCCATAATAGCTCAGTTTCTATGTCGTACTCATTCTACTTTCATTTTTATTCTATCGTGCTACGATTGTAACATTTGTAATAATTTAACTACGGGCCCGAAGTGCGTAAATTCGGTAATCTTTGTCTATATATTATGAACAGCACCACGAAATATGCATTATCATGCATGTGATACCCCTTGTTGACGTATTACCACTTCCATAACTAGGGTTTAAACCTTGGTACCCGGTAATTACAGTACCGTAACTCACTCTTCCACTGAAACTTAGCCTACAACGTAAGTTGTTTAACGAAGAGATAGGAACTTATCCACGCAAACAACTTCATACAAAAACCACCTCAGTAAATACTATAAGACGACGAAAAATTGTATACTTACCCTACCAAATGTATTCAAATTAATATCAGTAAACTGATATGCTGTTAGTTTACAAGCTTTTCTCGACCTGCAGATAATATGACAACAATATTTATATACTTTATCTTTAATAAGTTTCATTTATGTGACTTTTTAAATATACGACAAAATACATATGAAATTGTTAATTTACTTTAACAAAATTTTTGTGTCATACAAATTTAATTTTAAAATATAATTTATTTTTTATATATTATTACACTTTATTGACTACATAGCAATTTGTTAATATCTTATAAATAAAATATTAAGCAATTTTATTAAAATAATATTGTATGTAATTAATCTAACTGTGAAAGTGCTTATTATATTAATGCATTCTTTGTCTTATTGTGCCTTAGCCTTCGTGTCAAAAAATACAAATAAATTAATAATTACGTACCTAATGGAAAGAAAAAGTAAATCTTTCATGACCGCAGCATCAGCAAAGTACCATTGACTCTTATATACAGCATCACTGATTTCCTCGCTCTACAAAGTTGACATTATTCATATTAATATTTAGTTAGTAATTTATTTTGTTCATATTATGTCACATCAACATGTTATATTATTAAACTACCAGCGATATATTACATTCTTAAAATTGAAGCTACCTGCCCCGCCGCACGGTATTTTAAATAGCTTACATTTTTTTTAAATCAACTAATTGCATGTGTGCCTCAAGAATCAGTTTGTTAATGAAAACTACAAAAATACCTTCAGTCATTTTTGAGATTATTCCGAACATACAGACAAAGGGTACAGAGGATTATAATGTGTATAGATATTGTTGAAAAGTAAATTAAAAAATATACGTACGTATTGCATTATTTTATCGCCGTAGTAACACAAAACAACTACTTGTATCATTGACATAAAAAAGAATGAAATGAACGGCATCATTAAAATTTTGTTCTCTATTGTCTGAAAATAAATAATTATAAATGAAATACAAAATTAAGACAAAAAGAAACAAAATAATATTATTTGTTTAAATTCAAATATTTTTAATGATATAATTTTTTAAAAGCGCAGGTAAATAATCAGACGGCATGTTTTCTCCACATAAAAGTTATTTTTACTAAAAGTAAACGGATATTTTTGCAAGAGGTTTACTTGATAACCCAATGAAAACACAAGATCGAAATTTAATTATTCCAAAATAAAATAAAACTACCTATGTAAAACCAACTAAGTAGTTTTACATAGATAGTTTTATTTTGGAACAACTTTAATTAGATTTTATTGTACCTTTCATGGTTGCATCCTATGAGCGATATTATAGCAGAGTACAAATAAATAAAACGTAAATTACCGTAATGTTAAAGCCTGTAACACATATGATTAGTGAGCTTGTAGCAACGTTGAATAGAGTAGACTTTGTATAAATTGATTCCAATAAATTCACCAAACTGTGAAAGCAACAAACTATTTCAGAAAGTTTTATAATTACATCAATAGATCCTATAAAATTACAGAGATTAAGTTACTGTTTAACTTAGTATTTTTTCCTTTTTCCTCTCCTACTTAAGGCGATAATCGTATTTCGAGTTGCTATCACAATTTTCCTATTCTGATTTCTTAGCGCACCTGTAGTCTACGTGGGTTTACCAATAAGTAAATTATAATTGTGTTTAAATCTTTGAAGCGCTTCAAGTTAAAAAGCACTTATTAGTAGTATAAAATTCATATGGTTTTAATTATAAATCTTCCTTGAATTCAAAATTAAAGTAACTTTGATTGCTGTTGATTCTACTACAATATCTATTGTAGAAAATATTGTATGCTATAGATAGTTATCGAGTCGGGAACTCTGTTGAATTAGTGTTGAGAATTAAAATAATACACCCGAGAATTAAAATAAATAAAAAAATACGCGTAAAAATTAGTGTAATCGTGTTCATTGTTTAGAATACAAAATCATTGTTAGTTTTGTATAGTTTACCTTTAAACATAAAATAGTTTAATCTGCCTTTTATAAACTCAGAAAAGTGAGACAAACCATCAGTTATTATCTACTTAGTGTTTGCTTAATATTTACCTTATTAATATTTTATGCCTATGAATTATCTGTTCAAATTGTGATCGAAAACGTTCATTCACATATCTACTACTTTTTAGATTTCTGTTTTTCGTTCCAATATCTATTTTTTCTATGTCATATTGCAAACAATGAAATTGTATATTTATAAAAGTGGAACAAGTTGCAAAAAAATTATCAGGACCAAAAACCATAAACACAGTCACCGTACCTGCAATAAAATGAATATTTATGAAAACAACATATTTTTCATTCATTGCGTGAACTGAAAATATGCATATGTTCTAAGCATAAACAGTCGTAAACTAATATATTACAGTTGGCATACCTGACCATATTTGGTGAAGATATAGAAATGGCCAATTAGTTAACTTTGTTTGGTCAACAGGATACCAAAGAAAAAATGGCAACGTATACAATATTTTACCAGTTGAATAATAATAAACACCCATTATAAGAAATGGACCAATCATAAATAACAGTAATGCTATTGCAGTTGATGTTAAAAGGAAATAAGTGAACATATTATAGAGCCACAATCTATTCTTTATCATTTCTTCCTCTACTTCTTTCCGGTATTTTCGCATTTCCATTGTAAAATTCTGCACTTTTCTCAAACTGTTTACAACCTCACAAACAAGATTCGAATGTTTCATAAAATAGTATCCTTTCATATTTCCAAGGCAACAAAAAGTAACACAAGGCAAGAAGTAAGTGATTTCTGTAATGCTCCTATCAGTTATTATAGCTTCTATGTACCATCCAATTTGTCCCATAATAGATGTACCGAGGTAAAAAATGTTAAAACAGTAGAACCAACGGTGACGTAAACGCTGTATTAGCGATTTATTATCACCATCATCATCCTTCAAATCCATGCCTGTAACCCTCAACAGTTTATTTGTACGATGTAAGTATTTTTCAAATAGATCTTTTTCTTTGCTCTCTTGTTCCATTTCGTTAGTGTCCATGCTGTAGACCTATTGTTACGTGAGACACAAATGCTACCTACTAGTAAAATCAATTTACTCCTTTCACTGAAAAAAGCTACAGATATAGATTACAATAGAAGTCGCATTATTGTATGAGCATTTTTTTTTTCAATTCAACTATCGACGAGTATTCGTATTATAATGAATACCTAAATCAATGCTCACTCTGTGTGAAACCCACAGCATAATAACTTTGATTTGCAAGCGTGAACTATTATTACGTTTTGCTCGGTTTTTATGTAGGGGAAAAGCGGCATAAAAGAGTCAGTTTTTTAAATAGATCAAAAAACCATAATTACATTAAAAGATGTTTTTTTTTATTTCTTAGAACTTGTACAAAATTAGTTCTTGAACAACCAAAAAAATCGTATTAGCTTTTTCTAAACCTGACTTCATCGTGTAACTTCTCATCGTTGGGAATATGCGACATCTAATTGATTCTATATCTGTGACAATGTTTATTAAAATAACTGTTTAATTAGCTAGTTTGCATTTATAATACCTTATTTAATTTTACGTTGTGTGCCTGTGATTTTAAACAGATGAGGACTGCCTCATGTGTTTAAAATCACACACAAAGGCCTACCACTGGGTAATTAAGTATTGAAGTTATTTATTTTCCACTTATGGAGGGCGTTGATAACAGATGTCATAGAATGTTTTAATTAGGTGTTTTATTTATTTTTTAATATTAGGGATAAGCAATTATAACAACAACAATCAATTTTATTTTGTTGTTTTGATTAATGAATTGTAGGCTATTTCAAAAGTTCTGTAAGATTGAAAAATCTGATGGTATGGTACTCACGCAGATGAGTTTCTACGAAGTTTTACTTTGGTAAATACTTCGTAGTATGTAAAACTTAATTTATAATAAGTCAATGTATCGAGAAAGTCCTCTATACGGAGCGCCATTTCAATAAAATGATATATCTTCCTGCAGGTTTTCTATGACTTTGTGACAAACAAACAAAAATAAAAACAGGAAGTTTCCAAAATTCCAGCTTCCTGTTTTTCATAATGATTATATTTCAGCTGTACTTAAAATGAATAAAGTTATAATATAATAGAACTGATAATGTGAAGGTATGTTAGTTGTTAGTATGTTAGTAATTGTCACTTTACGAACCTATTTTTGAAAGTATGACTTCTTTCAAAAATTGTACCGTGCATGTATATTCAACGATAATGCACATAAGTCAACGATTTTCCTTATAATATTATAATACTTTGTAAATATATGTATTAAAAAATCGGACAATGCCACGAAAAGTATGTTACCCAAGTAAGGTTCACCTGCCAGCTGCTCTAATTCTCGTGTGATTTAACCAATACGTATATAAATTACTAGCGATTCAAAAGCAATCTTAGACAGATTACTTAAAATTACTAATAATCTATGCACATATTTTTAATTTCGTAATATCATGCATTCCAACCAGTAACTGCTAAATCATTTAGAATCAGAACTCAGTATACGAATAGGTACAAATGTTTCCTATCGTACAATGTTGAGTAAAAATAGCATGACTAAACTAATATACTTCCGGTTTCTCAGATCATTTTCCAAGAATATGAGTTAGGGGAATATGGGAGACTTACGGGAGAGATATTCCAAAATACATGTACATAAATAAATTTAAATTTTAAGTTTTTTGGTTGTAGATTACTCGTTTATTGTTTAGTACCTACATGTATAATATCCAATTGAGTGCCATTAAGTTAGTTGTGTAAATGTAAATAGAGACAAGACTGATTTGGTATAGGATAAAGGTATACAAAATTTTTTTTTCTTTTCAAAAAAAACAGAGTCCAACAGTAAACTGATTATGATACTTGCATTACGCACAACATTACTTGCATTAAAACAAGAATACAAATTCATGAAAAAGTCTCAACATGCCTATAAAGATTCACAAAATATAGTCTACTGAAGAATACACTTTAAAGTATGAAAGAAGAAATATTCACATCTGAAAATATTTTATTATTTATCGGGTGAATTGAAACTCAAACCATTTCGATTTAAGGAGTAGTACCTATTTACCACTCCTTTAGATTATAAGCTATCAAATTTAATGTATTATAGTTACAATTTTATATATCTTATAGTGATTGATAATGTAGCTTTCCCGGTCTGCCTCTCTAAGCAAATATTAAATTATATATAGATTCAGAGATCTACTGGAATCGTTATAATACAATGATGCATCCACGAATCCATTCATCCACATATACATTCATGTTGTCTTCTCTACATATAATAAAATCGTAAATCATAACGAGGCGAAAACTATCTGTTTGTCTTTTAATGCGTTTGTTTTGTGACTGTTTGAGTAGGAAGTACTCACGTAAAACAGCTGGAGGAATTACGATGAAACTTTTACATAGAGTTGAATAGATGTTCCATTTATTTTTGTCGTTTGATTTTTAGCAATACAGGGCTATCTACAAATATACATACCAACGGGATCGCAGGCACCAATACTTAATTAATATAACTAGTGACCCGCTCCGATTTCACTCGGATAGTAATATACCTATTTGTGAATTTTAATACATGTAATACGTATATTATCTATGTCACACGGGAACAATGTTAACTGTAAATATGGAAAGATTTGTTCAAATAGCCATATAAATATTTTCTGAACGCTATTCTGTGTTTTTCTTGTAATATCTATGATATTCCATGACCAGATTTTACGATAATTACTATTCCCATAAAATCTTGACATGAGATATGATTAACTAGAGATTTTATGATCAATAATAAGACACTGAATCATCTATCTGCGTATATGTTTGGTAAAATTGTTATATTTGCTGACTATATGCCATAATTTTTTTCTTCTCTAGTATCGTGGATGTGATAACTTTCTGTCCTCTAAAATCGACTAAAAAGATACCTCTCATGATGTCCAGGAAATAATTCTTATTAATTTTGATCATACTGAATAATTGTCACAAAGAATTAAAATGAGTTTCAATTAAACAATTGTTACTCTTGGTATCTGTACTAGTTATGCTAAGATTTTTAATAGTAAAATAGTACGTATTTGGAATCCTAGTTTTTGAATAAATCTCATATAATAACTAGTACAACATATATACCATTAAATGTATAATAGGTATAAACAAACTATCGATCAACATCATAATCATCTGTTAACTACTCAAAGCAACAGATCGTAAAGCTTTAAATTATGATCATGTTGTACACCTACACGAGGTTGATCCTGTGCCCATTAATCCGCCTGGTTGCAAACTGCTCTTGTTTACTCTATAAATTATGAATTATACAAACACTGGGATATATTTTATTACACTATAAAATCGAAACGGCACAAGATTGAAAACCGCAACTAGCCCACGAAGTGATCGTACGGAAACCAAATAGATCAAGGATACAACAAATTGACAAGAGTGAATTACCGATTGTAGATTATTCCCAAATTAAATCCTAAATTTACTTTTTTTTAATATATAGTTGAGTACAAATTTAAATATTTGCGATATAAATCACACACAGATCGAGACATATATATTATTTTTTTTTGTAGAATCGAACTATACGTAAGTAATCTATTTCTTTTAATATAACTTTAGATATTATGTGTAAATAGATGTATATTCCTCACTTGTAATCACATATGGCACATTTTGAGGTATGCGGTTCAGCAATATTATAAAATTTAGAACTTAGTAATATTATCAGTAGTATCAAAGTTAGACCAAAGTTAAATATTGTTATTTACCTATTTCTATTCCTGTATTTATGGTATGGTATAATTTTAATCCTTCTACTACTTTTGAACCTTGTGCGATATATACACAGGAATATTACATAAGACAACGCTAAAGTGACTCTAGGTAATACGTTAGGAAGTTACATGTAGAAGTAATAATAACAATATTTCAGGACAATTCATACAGCGCCATGTAGTCCCAAGCAAAGCAGAGCTTGTGTTATGGGTACTAGACAACTGATATAAATACATGGATACATTTTTTTTTAAATAAATACGTATTATACATAGAAAACACCCAGATCCATACAACAATCATACTCATGAATACAAATGTTTGTACTGTGCGAGGAATCGAACCCACCCATCATCGGATAGTAAAGCGGTGTGCTACACCACTAGACCACCGAGGCTGTCGAAGTTAATTAAATCAAGGAAAATAAAAGACATATTTACGAAATGCAATATAATGTTTTTTTTTAACAAAACTCTAACACATTACAATGACCATTCAATACTCAGACATTATTCTTTTTCATAATTTTATTAGCGGTAATTTTGTTCAGGCAAATAATGTCTTTTCTTACTGTCCACGCCATCAAAACTCAACTCTTAGTGTTTACACAATGGATAAATAGAAAAGTACATAAGTGTATACAAATAGGATGTAGCCATTAGGCAAAAAAAGTATATACAGCTTTATTTTGTGCACAAATAATAATATACATTTTTTATATTCTCGAATATACAATAATAGTGAAATATGTAGATATTCGAAATGTGCATTGCAATAGCAATAGTAGAAAAGTAATCGTGAAAATACTATAAAATAACATTAATTACCTAAACGTACAATACTCACAATCGTTCCATGTCCACATGTATTTTTTCGCTCGAAACAGTGGACGAAAATACCTTAAACTAATAAAGTTACTACTTGCTGCGTCTAGACAATACGTCGCGGAATCAGATGTCTTCATTAGAAACGTTCAATATAACACAAACAAACGCGAGTCACATCTTTTTCTGAATTTGGCACGCGAGCCACATGCCACACTGTTTAACTAATTGTCTTTTCAGTTTACGTATTTAACGCAACGTTAAACATAGGTATACCTATACTATTTTAAACAGCAATGCAGTAGAATGAAATGAAGCAAGTCAACCTTGAACTTTGAGGCTCTAATGCGTAGGTAATCTCTGAATGTCACGCCAGCGAATGAGCCCGTGATCGAATCCCATTACAAAAGTATGTGACGATGTGACGATAATTTAGTTTAGTAAATTTTGCCTTCATTAACTATAATTAGGAGAAATATATAATGAGTAGAAATGAATTAGTATTCATATTTTGTACAAAACATAATCATAATAAAAGAAAGTTGGTTGGTTGGTTCAAAGATATTCCTCGTTGTATTCGCCAGGCTAGTACGGCAGACCTGCATGCACAATGCATTCTATTTTGACGAACAAAAAGTACAACAAAGTATTTTCTCATCTGTGCAGAAATTTATACATCTAAATATATTTTAAGCAACTTATATATCTGTGAAATAAAAAAAAAAGATTTTTTATATGTATTTCAATTCGATATTTTGCTAGTTTCAAGGCAAATGCTCATTACAAGGTACATGTACCAGGAAGACCTATTTTTGTTTAGGTACACGTAGCTTGTCTTAGTACCAATTTATCTATTGAATACATTATTGAAGGTACTAGACTGATGATTCGTATATTACTATCTGTACAATCGGCGGCTTCTTTTCTGGTGTCGGCGCCGTGATATCCCTAATGACCGCTTCAACAGCAGCCTCCCATTCCAATTGACGCTTGTCAGTGAGTCCATCTTTCCCAGCATTTAATCGCGGCATAGTAACCTGGAATAAAATAAATGTATTCATATAATATTAATTACTATTGCCATAAATTTACACCTTATTTCAATTGAGAGGTATTCTTAAATTTTGTCACACCCGTCTAAACCGTTTCGCTAATTTCAGTTGATATGAATATATCACCTTCAACTAGATGCAGCTTTTTAAAACAAAATTTTAACCTAAATTTTTGCTTTTAAATTTATCACATCTACAGTACAAGAGAATTTTATATTAAATATATTTTTTTAATTTTACTTATTTTATAATACAATTTAATAAAATTTGTTTTGCTCCGAATTTCAAACACAATTTAAAAAAAGAATTTAATTAAATTCATTACGAAATGTTTAATGTCTTCATTTAAATGCTTATATGAAATATATTTTATCCATTGCATCCTGAATAACATTACTATTCATTATCAATTCATATTGAAAAATCTAACTTTGAATCGAAACGCGCTCTCAGAGAAATAAAGTAATAAAAATAAGCGAAGTGTCAGTCAAATACGTCGTATTTTTAGAACGTTTTGTCATACTGAATGCTACTCTTTCTCTATAATATTTATAAATAAGTCGGATAGTGAGCGATTGTCTGATCTATTGTACCTTTCTACGATAGACCCTCCATTCATCAATAATTTATCTTATAGCTGAGAGAGATTATGTTACAACAATACTATATTTTGTACAATAAATTTCCTTTCACGCTAGAGCTTTTGCTATCTATCAATATAATGGTATGTTCACTTTTACGTAGGTGTAAGTTAATAGATACTAGAATTTCATACATAACATCTCTACCAAAACTATCTTGTTACGATATACAAAAAACATTTCTTGGATCTTACTCTTTTGCTTTTTAATACAGTATCCATTATTTATACGACCCGCCTGAAATTGTCTAGATAATTGCAACTGGTAATTTCTTTGCATAACAAAAACTTTTTTATGTTAATTCGGTATCCTATTTATTACCCTAATCGAGAATACGATCTTATGTTTCAAGAATGTGATATATTTCAGTCGAATCGGTTTACGGTTTTTGCGTCAAATAGTAACAAACATCTATTCATTCACCCATACATTCATATTAGTATATGCTAATGCTATAAGATCTAGGCACAGTAAAAAGAAGATATTCATTGACCTGAAAGAAAAATATTGCGTAACCTTTTCTTATAGAAGAAGGCAGTTCGTGAGTTACACCGCAAAGTTAACGCGTCGTAGGCATGACGTGACTTGGATTCTTGGCATGAACATTAACTAATACACATTCAGGTCAAATAAAAAAAACTAATACTCGACTGTACGTAATTCTTACCATATTTTAGTACTAGCTTTTCGAGCATAAATTATTATTTTCCAAGAAGCAGTTAAATTAGTAATAAAATAAAGTGTTTTTCAGGAGACAAGGTTCTGCATGTTCATGTACAATAAATTTAACATATGAAATAAAAATAAAAAACAAACTGAAGAATTTTCGATAATTATATTTAATCGTATCAAGAATATCACAAATGTAAATATATATGACTATATTGAAACACCATAGTCTAACATTGTTTTATATATCCACTTCTATATAAATTCTGTATGAATTTGGCTTTTAAAATACAAAGTGACATATTTTTATATTTATTTCAATTCGAATGCAACTATGAATGAAAAATATCTGCCTAATATATATGAACACACGATTTTAGTTTAAAGGCGAATAAATAAAAGCTGTCTTAGTTTTTTTTTAAAAAAAAGAAGAACTAATTTATATTCGTCATGCATCCGTTCAGAGAGGTTCATAAACAGTAGATATCTAAGTACCTTCGATATTGAATAACTGAGAAGTTGCATATTACTCATGGATGTATATTTATAACTGGTAGGAGCTGCTTTCGATTGCCCTTCTTACACAAATAATCTGATTCAGTAGTAGTCAGTAGCTTTACATAGTATAAAACATCGCCGCCGCTGTTTGTTCGCTTATATATTTAATAATAATAATCTCAGGACAATTCACACAGAGCCATCTAGACCCAAGTTAAGCTTGCTAGAGCTTGTGTTATGGGTACTAGATAACTGATACATATATACATAGATATTTTTTTTGTAAATACATACATATTATACATAGAAAACACCCAGACCGATACAAACAATCATACTCATGGATACAAATGTTTGTGCTGTGCGAGGAATCGAACCCGCGACCATCGGTCGTAAAGCGGTGTGCTTGACCGCTAGACCAACGAGGTCGTCAAATATTTAATATCACGAAACGGGTTTTGATGCAATTTTCACCAATAAGTAAAGATATTCAATGCGTTTTTGTTATGATTTACATGTATGTGTGATATAGTATAGAACAAGCCAAGAAAGTCAAAGATTTGTAATGCATCCGTGTGAAGCAGGTACGGGTCGCTAGAATATTATATGTATGAGTTCATATGTACTACTGCGGATAGACAATGAACGGCCCATGGCCTATATACGGAAAATAACAGCAATCGTCTATAAATCTGAATAACACCATGGACATTATAGATTATGCTATTATGACTACTCATGGCGCACCTTATGCATTCAGTACCTACTAAGTAAGCTTAGGTATGTGTTGTTTTGTTTTATCGGCTGAAAATAATTAGCTATCCGTCACTACTGACTGAATGGTAATTCTTATTCTACAATAAGAATTCCCATTAATTCACACCATCATTTGTAATTAAAATGTTTTTGAGAAATGACAAAATTATTTAATAATATTTAATGACTTCAGAATAAGAACACGTCTCTAATAATGATTCCAATGAAATCTCAATGAAGGCCGTAGAATCGCTGACGCACTGGCATTTTATTGCCACTAGATCGGAAACTTATAAAAATACACCATTCATCTTATTGACTGTAAAATTTTAAAACATACAGTAACACGGCTGTTCTATTATACATCATATTCAAAGTATAATAATATTACACACCAAGAACCATCAATATAAAGTAACAAAAATACATTATAGCAGAAAATATAACTCAGTTATAAGACTATTGACTTGGCGTTTTATAAACAGTGATTTGTAAGATAATATTTTACAAAAGCTTAGTGGTTTAAATAATGTTGTAAGCTTGCGTTTGTAATAATATACAAAGTTTTAAAATACAGAAAGAAAAATGGGAAGCTTTAGTTTTAGTTTCATACCTACTCAAGCATTTTAAACAAGAATTTTCTAACTACTGACGTATAAAATCAGATTTATTTCTATGTAATTACAGAATAAGAATATATATTATGTCATTACTTTTTCGCCTTCTGATGTCGTGTCACTCCAAATAAAAGATCCAATCGCTTGGTTAGTGGTCAATTGTTCGCAAAAGTATGGTAACAAAGTTTTTGTATTATAACAATGATGAATCCGTCAATGAATGGACTATACAGAGCCACAGCTCTGGCATTACCTAAAAGAGACACATCTCTTTTAGGTAATGCAATGGGTAATAATTGCATAAGCTATGGAGGTCGACAATAGATATTGAAAAAATGTGCATTGGTTTCTATAATATTTATTGATGTAAGGTCAATTAAGCAGCCCACCTATTTTTTCCTTAAAATATAAACATTACGAAATAAAGCAAGCATTAGCGATCCGTTCAGAGCAGTTTATTGGGTACTAAAACTAAAAGGGTAGCTATTGCGACATTGAAACATTCGGCCTCAAACCGACCTATGCAAACATCACCAGTAGATACAGAACCGACCATTATTTTAATGAAGCTGTTGGTATTTTTAGAAACAAGATAATTGGAAATGTTGTTATGTGAGACAACCACGGCTCATTGTCATTTGAAACAAGTTAAAAATATCAACATGACTTTGTGATTAAAGATTTTATTTGACAGCTTTGCAATTGAATATTAAGTTGTATTTATTGTAAAAATAGTAATATATTATCACACAATTGTAGAAACTAATCAGTTTGAATAAAAACCTTAGGTTATTTATATAATTAGCTATTTCACACTTTACATATTTTTGTAGTATTTATTTTGAATCAATTTCGTTACTTAAATTAAAATATTTTGAAAATTAATTTATTTTGTCATCAATAAAATAATCTGCACAACTAATTTTATTCTTTATACTTTAGCAAAATGTTAAAGTAATCATTTATTATTTCTTTTATATTACTTTTCTAATGTCCAATGACATCGATTAATCTTTTGAGGTCAAGGATAGTAAAATCGCTACAACCGACTTACTGTCGCCTCGGAAGCCAATTCTGAGTAACGCCATTCCGTGAAAACAATTTTCTTGTATACTGCAAATATCACTAAATAAAATAAATCTTATTTATAATGCAATAAAGTTCAGTGTTAGTCATACTATATTTTTATAATATTAATCATACTTTTATATAAAGAAATTCCCATCACCTATGTATATTTTATATATGAACTTATATAAAACATGACATATAGAAAAGTTCTATGTTCAATAAACTGAAAGAAAACCAGAATCAATATATACAATAGTGTAAAATTCAAGTTTATGTAAAATAAGCTATATATGGAGCAGTGACTACCAACCCTATTTAAGACTACTAATATATAATGCATATTAGGTACAAACTACTAAGTATGAATCAGATACTAAAACGTAAAATTCGAGAAAGCGCAGGAACTGTTGCTCGATTTATTGAGAAGCTAAAAGCATAAACGTTTTTCCTTCTGTACTAGTACTCACAACTGGCGTTGCCGCCGGCTTAATTTGAATTTTTTTCAATGGACTCAGACATCTGACTCCTTTGTTCACATCCTGAGGCGTTGCATTCATAGATGGAAATTAATAATTAATTATAACGTTAAAATGACTGACTTGTCTTACTATTGCACATTTAAGTATAGCAATAATAATGTTAAATATTAGAATAATATCTAGGCATAACCATAAATTAGATCACTAGCTTAGCTAGAACCCACTCCCCTCGTATGACGTATGTATATAGGAACCAAATTTAAGTGACTATTCACCATGAAGTAAATCAAAGTCCACATACAGCAACTCATAGTAATTAGCTTCATAGATTTCACTTCATTAACCCTAATTCAAATTAGAAGTGGTCTATCGAAATGATGTTGTTTTTTCTATTTTTACATTTAGTTACTAATTCATAATAAATGTAAGACAAAGTCACAATAATTTCAAAACTACCAGACACGACTACACAAATTACATCAACATACATATAATATAAACAACATACCTATTAGTCATTAACACGTGCAAATGATATTTGTTTACTGTTTCATCGGATGCCTGTCATCACAATCTACAGATCTTGGTATTAAAGCTTTTATATCGAACCGACACATGCAACCATTCGTACTAACAGTACCGCATATACATATTGGTGCAGTAAAAATAGAAACATACTGAACATTTAGTCCTGTTTAGATAAATTTTAACTATTGGAAACGAATGATTATTAGTTCTAAAAATCATAATTCGATTTAAATAAAAAAACATTTATTCTGATAGGACATTTTAATTAAACAAATAATTCGTTAATTAATGTCCTTACAGCTACACAAGCACTATAATTGTGTTCATTATTAATTGGCTAGACTTTCTTATCGTGATAAGTTTAAGATAATCCATCTAAGTTCAACAATGTTATTATACTGACCTTAACCGAATATAATTGACATGTAACTTACCACTGTCAGTACTTTACGAAGGTCACTATGAAGAGCAGACACATCCACTCCTCTACCGGCGTCGCCTAGTCTTCTTAGAGTGTCTGCTAACGGCCCTGACAGAGCTCGTAGTTGTTGCCAAGATCTCGCATACTGCCTTCGCACCAACTCTATTATAGTTGAGGTCAGCGCCAAACCAATAAGTATATAAAGTGTGCATAGTAGCATATATTTTGGCCTTTCTGTAAATTAAATATGACATTATTATAAATATTTTTTTTTCGGTTTTACTGACGTTTCCGTCTTCAAGATTACGTGACTACGTTCTCGTATTATTGATCTCAGTTATACAGATCACATGCGAGTATGGACTATAAAAATATTTTTAATCATAATTGTAAAGGTGGAAACAAAATAAAAGAACAGATTTTGGAACGGTTAATGATAGTTTTTATTTAATAATTTAGGTACGTTTATATCTAATGAAAATTGTATTATGCCGAAGAAAATGTGAATACTATTACAATATTATGTATTAGTAAGCTGTTATACACGTAACATATACGATACATGTATATGTTACGTGTATAACAGTTTCAATAATTTTAATCAGAATAATAGCATGCAATTCCTTGCACGAATATTATATCACTTATGATTTACTTATAATAAGTATAAAAAATGTGGCCACCATTTTATAATTAATATATAATTTATTATCTATTTGAACCTTACTAGGGACAAGATCTCCAAATCCTATGGTAGTCATAGTAATAAAACAAAAGTAAAATCCATCATAGAAAGTCCAATCGTCTTCCCACATCTTAAACAAGCCGGCACCAGCAGACAAATAAACGAATAGAAATCCCACTGCGCCAAGAGCATAAAGAGATCGCTGTCCCGCTGGATTTGCCTCCGATACTCGTTTGCAACATTCTGTAAGCAAACAAAATTAGTATCGATGAGAGCGAAGGTCGAAAATGTTTGGAATAAAAATACTTCTAGAATTTATTTAATATTCACTTACTAGGCATAGCGGGCAATTGTTTCGCAATAATAGAAACGACTGTTGCAAAAACTCTTCCCAAGTCTGCAATTACTGTTAATGTTAATGGGATTCCAATCAATGCGTATGCAATACAAAATAATCTGCCCCAGAATGTCTCTGGGACTATGTTTCCATAACCTGAAAAAAAAATTGTGGTTTGAAGTTATTACAGATGATAATAATATTTTTAATACATGAATGTATATATACATTACATGTATCACAGATAAGATAATATGCTAAAAGTCGTCTGCTTGGGTATTTCACTCATACCTATTTCAGCCGTCAAGCAATTTTCTATGAAATTACAGGATAAGATGCGTGATAGTCTTACCAACACGACTTATGGTCCTCCGAAATAGCAACGCATGTATCGTATCATGAACGTGATATACGTAGGGTCGTTAATGTATATGGGCACGATTACCACTTATCATGAGGTGGGTTTGTTATTCCAATAACACAAAAAAATATTTTAATTGTAAATAAATTTGAACCTGCAGGTTATTTAAGCACTAATAAATACCATTATAGATGCTATGCATTGATAGTTATACTTTACAGACACCATTCCGTCAAGAGGACGTTACTGCTGCATGTACTTTACTTTAAAATTCTCCGACCATCATTTATGGTGCAAGGAGGCTTGTAGTAAAATATTCAATATACAAGATACGAACTCCTACTGACCTTTTTACTATTTTATGTATAACGTATGGATTCAATACGTATTTTATCTGTTAAAAAAATTATAATACCACGTACAGGTCATCAATTAAACATGTGTAATATACTCGTATCCATGCTTACATGTTTGTACACACCTATTGTGGTGAGCACAGTTGATGAAAAGAACACTGCTTGCAATATACTCCACTTTTCTTCTGAAGGAGGGAAATTATTTTCGACTTCTAATGCCAGACCACTCGAAGATGCTTCTTCTAAAACCTTAAAAAATATTATTGTATTTAACAAACACAATGTTTTATTATATATATATAAGCTAAATAAAATATTTTCTGTAAACAATTTATATAATAATAAGAAGTACTAATCATAATTAAGATATTCACAGATACTTAGAACAAATAATATTAATATGTTTTCAAGTACTTGATAGATGGATTATGTGAAATAACAGGAATAACCACAAAACGGCGCATTATTTTATTGTGCGCCTTTATTTTTATACGGTAATCCTTAGAAAGCAAAATGGACTACATTTTGCTCTATTGCGTAACTTTGTTGTGCATTTTTTCTCCACGTCCCAGAGATAGCAAGCATTTCGCAGTCCATACAGTAAAATTATAGTTGTATAAAAATATCAAATTCCAATATCTATACAATAAATCCTAAATAAAATTTAGTCATTGTAATTACGAACAGACTCTAACCTTCTCATATACAGCCAACTGATCACTTAGCAGTTTTTCCATACCGCTTTCGCTTCCATTATTATTGTACTCAGATACGAATTTTATTAGATTCCATCGCTCCGTTAGTAAACGTTCCCGATGATACTCTTGTTTTTCCAGTTCCGCTGGATATTCCAATGCTCTAAAGACCTTTATAACAACAAATAATTAGTATTTCAATATATTAACATTGTTATAAATAAATTAAAAACAAATATACCATGATAACTTTATCTTCTTACTTGTCTGTACGTGTATTCTACTCTCTATTAATAATATATAAAAATATATTTAAAACATTGATACGTATCCCTAAAACTGTACATAATTATGTTAATCAAATATAAACTTAAAAATTCTCAAACTCCTTTTCAAATAAACAATAATCAGCTCTTTTTAACTTAACATCATTTGTCTCTTTAAAATTTTCGACATCTCCAGAATTTTTAAACATTGGAATATAAGGCGGAGTCATCTTATGATGTAGTATTGCATACCAATTAATATCATTAAACCATATGTGACCTTTAATATAATATACTCCTGCTTTAAGAGACCCTAGACGCTTTGTTGGATCTACTTCTAACAAACCTTTAACCAAAGATTTGCATTGTGGTGTCATTGTATCTGGTGTTTTAAAATGCCCTGCGAGTACTTTCTCGTACAACTTCATAGTATGTGAACTGTAAAAAGGGGGATAACCAGCGTTCATTTCATATATAAGAACACCTAATGCCCACCAGTCTACAGGATATGAATAGCCTTTCGACATTACTATTTCAGGTTCTAAATATTCCGGTGTACCAAGTTCATATGGTCCCAAATCGTTTTAATATAACCTGATTCATTAATCAAAATATTCTCTGGTTTTACGTCACGATGTATTACAGAGCAATGATGTAAATATTCTAATGCTAATACTATTTGCGCAGTATAAAATTGTGCCATTGATTCCGATAAGACTCTTAATTTCCTTATCAAAGTAAACAATTCGCCGCCGCCTTCAAATGATAGTAAAAAGTATACATACAAATTATCCTTGCAACAAAAATCTAGGGAAATCACAAAATTAAAATTTACACTCTGTAAAATTCTCTTTTCCAGAAGCACCTGTTTAAGACCTTTCTTTTTTATTACAGCGCTTTTTTCAATCGCTTTCATAGCATGGTATACAAAAGTAATTTTATCACGGACAAGAAAAACCGTCCCGAATGACCCACTTCCTAATGTATAGATGGAGTCAAAATCGTCTACTGATTTTAAATACACCGTCGGATTTGTATAATTCTTAATAAAGTCTTGTTTTAATACATCAAGGTATCGTCTGTGATTTACATGCAACTCATACGAATATAAGTTTGGTTTTGATTGGCTTTTATCAAAAGTCATTATAAATATTAGATAAGCTTTTATTGTCCTTTTACCATAAATCTTTTACAGACTGAATAGATATCGTGATTATGTTAGGTATACTCATATTCATCATTTTGGTTTTTAATTATATTTACAACACTACTATACTATTTTTCTTTTACAACACTTTATTCACCATGAATACTACTAAAAATTAAGAGAAATACTATAGAAAAGAGGAAAAATTAAATTGACTAAGAACAATAAAGCTATCAAGAATACTAACGGCCACAGAGTCTAATTGTAATTAAAAATTACAAACAAATAACAAAACGAACCAAGGAGGCGTTAATAGTAGATAGAATAAAATATTAAATATTATATTTATATGTCTTTCGGACAGGTTTAGTTCTTGTAGTACGAAATACAACGAATTTGAATTAGCTCTTACTTTCGACGATATAAAAAATGATATACCTACATAATATCATCTACATGATTTTTAATTGCTAACATAATTTATTACAATATGAATAATCTTAATATATAATTTGTATATATTATATATAGATAGAATTTAATTTCTTTCCTTAATCAAATACCAAATTCCATCAATATTATACGTATTTTTAGCAGGCTGGCTGTAGGCTGATTATAATGATTAATTTTTACCACGTACACTTTCTTTGAATTTTCGATACAGTGTTTAATTTTTGGTTAATGAACTAAGTAGTGAAAACATGATTTATTTTAAGTTTGATAATATATTAAATAATACAAAATCTTTTCGAATAAAAGTCTTCAGAATGCTTCAAACTCTTTCCCAAAAAGACATTTTGAGGCTCTTTTTAACTTGGATTGTGATATTTCAGGAAAATTACTTGTATCGCCGGGCGCAGGGCATAGGGGTAAAAATGGTGGTTGCACCCTCTGATTTAATATAGACTGCCATGAAATATCTTTAAACCACGGGTGACTTTTAATATCATACACCCCACCCTTTAGGGATCCAACTCTTTTGTTCGGATCCACCTGTAGTAAGCCTTTTATTAAACTTTTGCATTCAGGTCCTATATTATCTGGACATTTGTATATACCATCAAGTACTTTTTCGTATAACTTACTAGGGTCAGATGAGTAAAAAGGTGGATGTCCAGCCTCCATTTCGTAGATTAATATACCCAAAGCCCACCAATCAACAGCAAATGAGTAACCTTTCGATCTTATAACTTCTGGCGCTAAATATTCTGGTGTTCCGCATAGTGTCCAAGTTTTTTTCTTCAGTACTTTACAAAATCCGAAATCGCAAATTTTTATGTAACCATTTGAATCAACTAAAATATTTTCTGGCTTGAGATCTCGATGCACAATGTCACAATAATGTAAATACTCTAACGCCAACGTTACTTGACTAGCATAAAATTTGGCTACATTGTCTGATAAGCTTCCATAGTTTTGTATATAAGTGAAGAGTTCTCCTCCAATTATATAAGGAAGTATAAAATAAAGATAAATGTTGTCTTTAAACGCAATATCCAAAGTTACAACAAAAGGAAATTGAATACATTGAAGAATTTTCTTTTCTAACAGCAAATGTTTAACGTGTTTCCTTTCAACCACTACACCTTTTTCCACGACTTTCATGGCGTGATATGTGAATGTACTCTTATCTCTAACTAGAAAAACTTCACCATAGGCGCCATTACCAATTGCCTTGATTCTGTCAAAATCATTTGGAGTTTTAGTAAACTTTGGTAGAAGCTCAAATTTCTTTACAAATTCACCCTTTAATATCTCTAAATACCGTGTATGTTCGGTATGATTTTGTTGGGTATAGGTACACTTAGACATGCCCTATTAAAGTTAAATATGCTTTAAAAAAATCACCTTAGAAATAAAAATAAATGTATAAAAAGAATCATGTTTCTATAATCTTTGTAGCACAGTTTTATAGTGACTGTTCAAGTGTCAAAAATATTTTTAATTCATTCATTCATTCATACACAATTTTAATAGGTCCATCTTAGCAGTATCAAATATACATAGTTCCTATCCATAGGTATTAGAGATAACTAGATTGAGATATAGAGTTATTATACTTAATTTTTTAAGGTTTTTAGTTTTAGGTGAATAAATAGTAAATAATTATTCGTCTGAATATATTTTTACCTTGTCCTTTCATAATACAAACTCCTTTCGAATTCTGCCTAAATTTCATGTGGATTCATGATTGATATTTATATTTTGTGAGTGAAGGAGAATATAAATATAAATACATTTGTAAAATAGACAATTCAATTAATAAAACGGAAGCATTCATTTTATTTGTGTGTATTACAAATTACATTAAGTTTTTATATACTTAATGTATTAGTTGAAAATCATTCGAAGCGTAAGTTATACACAAAATGGTTGATGATATCCGGCGTCATATTTATTCCCCTCATCCAGGGGGTTATTCTCATACCAAACAAGAACAGTATAACCAATATCTTCGTAAACTTCATCAAGATTTTATTGAGTCCTGGAATGAGAAGTTAGAAGTCAATGATAAATTAAGTGAATTTGAAAAGAGCAGAGTTCTTGGCACAGGAGCATTTGGTGTAGTTTATCTAGTAAAGCACATCAACAGTGGTAAATACTATGCTATGAAAATGCTAGAAAAAGAAAAAATTGTAAAACTGAAGCAAATTGAGCACAGCTTTTATGAAAAAAAAATCTTAAGCGGACTCAATTTTCCATTCGTAGTTTTCATGAAATACTTTTTCAAAGATAATGTGTACTTGTATTACATTTTACCGTTTATACCTGGAGGTGAAATGTTCTCGCACCTGCGCAGAATGGGAAAGTTTGAAGAGTCGTCTTCAAAATTTTATGGAGCTCAAGTTATTTTAGCTTTAGAATACCTTCACGCTTGCGAGTTAGTATATCGTGACTTAAAACCAGAAAATATTTTAATAGATAGAACTGGCTATATCAAAATAACCGATTTTGGTTTCTGCAAACTGATCCGGGGAAGAACTTGGACTCTTTGCGGTACACCGGAATATCTAGCACCAGAAATTATACTTAGTAAAGGCTATGGAATGTCAGTAGATTGGTGGTCTCTAGGTGTTCTTCTTTTTGAAATGAGTGCTGGTCATCCTCCATTTTATGCTTCAGATCCAATGAGAATATACGAAAAAATTGTATCTGGGAAATACCGTTGTCCATCACATTTTTCTACTGAATTGAAAGATTTAGTCTCACATATTCTTCAAATTGATATAACTCGTCGATACGGTAATCTTAAGGATGGTATTTTGGATTTTAAAAACCATAAATGGTTTCGAGAAATAGACTGGGACAATTTATTAAATAGTCGAGTCCATCCACCTTTTATACCTAAGATTCGTTCACCAGGAGATACTACAAACTTTGACATATTTGATGAGGAAAAAATTAAAGAAAGCCCAGTTTGTCTATATGAAGAAGAGTTTATTGATTTTTAATATTCTTTTTCATTAATTACTTTGATTGCACAAGTAATGCTGAACATAAGAAAATGTATATTTAATTTAACTGTAAGAAAGTGTTAAGTTATGTGATGTCGTACGCGATTAGTATTCTACTTTTTGTCTTATATTGCTACTAAGTAAATATTTATTGTTGTTAAGTAACAATTACAATTATATTTACTTAGAATTTTGTTTTATTACTATTTTAAACCATATATTTCTATCGATCGTAATTTTCTTAGCTGTTGAAATCTAAGCGTACACACCTCTAATAAAATTTATTGATACATTACTTAATTAAAATGAAGAATGAAAACAATTAAAAATTTTCTATATAGATTACATATTGCTATAGAGCGCATTATTAATTTTGAACGTAAAACTTAACGTAGCTGGAAAGGGAACCCACTTAATTATGAACTGTACTGATTATTTTTCATAGATGTATATCATATATGATTATAAAACGTTATTTTTTAATAAAAGTATATATTGCTAATTTAATATCGAATAGAACAGTCAGAATCACTTAAGGGCGGAATTAGTTTATTTTTACTACAACGGCAATATTCAAGTAAATTCGACTAAATAGGAGAAAATAATAATGTATAAATATTTATTATTTATTTATTTATATTTATGGCATTGATGTAACAATTGATCAATAAATGGAATAGCATAAACAATAAATAATTATACATAGTACATATTTATTTTGGTATAGGTAGGTATACAAGTTACACAGAGCTGAAGGAATTATTGATAAAGGAGAGCTGTGGCCCCATTGTTCTAGCGTTGGTCTGTCAAGTGACGTCAACGTGATTTTTCTGGAAATCATCGTAATTAATTCCTGGTTTATCGCCATGATAGGCTAACTTACCTGATTTCATGATAATCCTATTACTTCTAGTAGTGCTCCGCCAAGGTAGGTGTACTGTGAACGAAGCCGAGGAATGTACCACCCATTAGAAGAAAATACAAAATACTCACCAATCCTCCACCACCGGTGTACAACATGAGTGCAACAAAGAGGCCCACGTGGGAGAGTGCTGCCCTGGGACAAAATCGGTCCCATTTGGAGACAGGCGGTGTCCCCATCAGCGTCTCCGTCTCCCACGCAACATTGTTCACGTTCTTGCACATTTTGTCACGCGGTCCTTTTCACATTTATAAATAACTCCACCATTTTTTAATTCTTATTTAAGTTCACTTATTTGGATTTGTTCCAGTCATACTGCGTTCGTTGAACTAAACAAATATAATGTTTTAATATACTAATGTATAAATGTTTAAATATTCCCTAATGTTAACGTTATATAAAATAACATAGAAAATAATAATAATAGAATCAAGCTGACTCAAAGCACATTCAGCACTTTCGAGAGTTTCTTTCAAATCTTCAGTATATAGATGTAGTGTCAATAAACATTTGAATTTACCATTATACATTAGCATGTCTGCTACTTTATTATATTTGGCTTTAATACCATAATGCGAGCAAAAGTGTGGCATATTATAGTACTGCAATGCAGGTGCTGTTAAACATCTGAGGCATCGTAATAGTTTTCATGCCTTTATTAAATTTTATAGCTTTATACCTAATGTTTAATAATTTCAACTTCCTTCATACCTACCTATAATTCAACATGTGTCATTAACATGCAATTAAATTAAAACTTAATATCAATACTACTGTATAAAGCAAACCCTTCTTAATATTGGAAGTGCACATGTGCGATATCACCTACCCACTAACTGCAGTATCTATTTTTGTATGTAGAAAGAATGTCACTTCATTAAATGGCTTGCCATTCCATTTTATTATGTAACGATATAAAAAAAATGTTTTAGCATTGATAAATATGTATATTGTTACAGAATGAAATGGAAATGCAAGTCATTGCCATGGTTTATAAATTACTATAATGAAAACGCCGATAAGAAAAAATATTTGAAAAAATGTTATTGTCCTATGGGTATTTTTTTATAGAAATGTCTCCCAAATACTACATGAAATATAATATTATCACTTATTATGACAGTATTGTAATATTATACGTATAATTAGTAAAAATCACGGGATCTTACCCGTGATCATGGTGGTTGAAACATTACCAAAACATCGGGATCTTACCACGTTTTATATTTATTTGCTGAGTTCCCGATTTTTCCAGTTTACCCGTGATCATGGTGGTTGAAACACTACCGAAATATCGGGAACTCAGCAAATAAATATAAAACGTGGTAAGATCCCGTGATTTTTACTAATTATACGTATAAATAACGACTGCGTCAAGTTTAAAACAGTATTGTAATATTATATATTTTTTTATTGTATGTATGAATTGAATTGTATTATGTATACCATAAATTGAAAAATGGAAATATTAAAATAGGTAAACAACATTTTTTGTTAGACAAGACGAATTAAGCGGCTTCTGTACCACTTAATTCGACCTTTCAATATTAATGTCACTAATCCAATAGATTAATTATTGTTATTAGGTTCTGAAGAGTGAGGATTATCCCAATCTCGATTCACTTCCATTTTATTAATACGTTATTATATCACAGTCTTTCATTACCGCATCACATGTTGTTCTAGAAAGTTTTTCCTTATATTAAGCGTCGGTCACGTTCGCAAAAAAGATCGTTTATGTTATATCGTTATTGTTTGGTGTAATTTAGTGCACTCCATTAGTATGATTAGTATATTGTCATTCCGGCTATTGGAACCACGTTAGTCAATCTGTTTCTTATAGAATATATTTTGTTACGCAGTAAATTGTACAGGCTTTGATATGATGTAGGCATGTAATATCATATATATATATTCGCATGCGTAAGTTATGGTCTCGTTTAAGTGATAACAGATAAACAGGTACATCTTGCATAAAAAACCAAGCTAAATAATATCTAATAGATAAAATACCCCTATAGATAAAAATCTCTAAGAAAATACACTCCTGTAAGCTAATAGCAAAAATATTGTTGTAAACATACAATATTATATTTGCTACCAGATTTCTACTAGGCACTTGCGAAATCAGCAGTAAGATGATCTCGAAATATTAAGATCTTGACTTCACCTTGACTTCTGAATTTAGTGCATTTAGTGAGTAACCACTTCGTGTATTTAGTGAGTCAACCCTATATATCCGGTTTCCAAGGGAATAAATCACCTAAACTGCATTTAATAAAACCCAACTTTGACAATTACAAAGTTAGGGGCACTAAAATTTAGCTCGTCATTTTAGAAAAATCTATAGATATATAAGTAAAAGATGGTTTTCAAAATGCATCAAGTATAATAAATACAAATCAGTACAAATACGTTATGAAATACAAATATCTATCTATATGTATATTTATATATTTGATATTACCCTTAAGTACATATTGACCTGCGATTATATTATTTACACAAGCGACAAAATTTTAAGTCCAATGCTAAATGTCTGAAAGTGATATTTTATAGATATATATATATCGTATATGTAGACGTCAACTCATTATAAGTAGATACACCAATCATCAAACCCATAGTAATTTTGCCAAAATACATTATTATGGTCAATCATATTAATATACATATTTTGGTTATAGTAATACATTCTAACTTGTGCAGGAAAAATATTTAACATTAAGTTTTTCATAAAAGCTCATCTTGACAGGATCTAGGTTCATCGTAACTTTTCATTATTCTGTAAAACTGATAACTATTGTAAAAATATTTTTTTAAAACTAAGAAATATATTGAATCGATACTAATATTACAAATTTGAAAGTAATTCTAACTGTCTGCTTGTGACCTTTTGCGACTAAGTGATTGAATGTAACTTGTTATTACTTGAAATTTGGTATTGAACCAGAAGCACGGACATAAGACTGTCTTTTATCTAAAAATATACGACAAACATGTAAGACAAATCAAAATACAGATATTACAGTTTTATTTTAACTGCTCACAATCCATATTACTATGTGTATACTGTTTCTTCTTATTGTTTCCTATCTGCTTATTTATTAGCCTTTTGCACGCAGCCGTATTAAAAAAGTTTGTTTCATAAATTGTCTCAAACATGTGTGACGCCTTGCATCTGGTTCATGTTTAAGTAACACACTACATTTTCTTATCAAGAAAGACAATACATTGATTACATTCAACAAAACAAAATTGTTATAGCTAATGTAATCTCGGTATAGCACACCACATCATCCTACTTCCGACGATCGCGATGATCTGGATGTTTTCTATGTAATTTATGTACGTATTTACAAAATAAATGTTTTAAATATTTCTATCAGTTTTTTAGTACAACACAATTGCTTATCTTGGAACTAGATATACTGTGTGAATTTCCCAGTTTTATTAACATGACTATAAAAATATATAAAATAAATCTCGTTAGAAAATGAAAACTGCCCAAATAAGTAACCCAAAAACTGAAAGTAACATAGCACTGTTTTATATAATTTGTAATAGAAGAAGAAGTTCAGTATTTGTACAAAATTTTTATACTTCCATATACGCATTCAGTATTCATAGATTTATCGTGACGACCCAAGAATCTTATGATTGGTAAACTTTCCGGTCACCATCTTCCGGTAATTCATACAAAAGATTCATATAAAGAAAATTGACCTACAATAAAATTATTTTGCATTTTATACATAGTAGGTATATAAACGGTATTACCAAAGCAATATTATTCATTAGCTCCAGATATTTCTATGCTATTACAGACGTCCAGGTCACGGTTCAATTCATCATCATCACCAATTGTAAACAAATGTAAAAAAGTTTTAAATAGGGAACAACATCGTCGGGTGAATACTTAGATAACATATAATACTTTTTTCTTATGTTCAGAAAGACCAGCACTTATCCAGTTAACTGATCTGATGATTGCACAATTACCTTACGATTATTATCACTAACAAAGAATCACTATAATCCATAACTTCATACAAAGCAGACAAATTGTGTGTTATTCATTTATAACGTATACATGTGTATGAAGATATATGTACAATTGTACATGTAGTAATTACATATAATTAGGATCCTTAATAAAATATTAAAAATATTCCTTGAGCATTGCTGTGTATTGTATATTATTAGCTGGATAAACCCAGCAATAATACCTATAGCCTTAAAATTAAAGAGATGTTGAAAAGAAAAATAAACGCTATCAATTTTATTGCTCAAAGCACTTTGCATTGAAATACAAAATACTCTTAACACACGTAAATACATTGACTATTCCCATTAAGTATATATAGAATTTGTTTAGAATAATAGTAAATGTGGGTGGACGTATTAATTGGGTGTAAAATAATATGTATAATTTTTCGTATTAACCACTTTTTCACTTTATTCTGACGTCGTGAAGTTTCAAACAGATGCTACCTGTTTATGTTAAATTAAATATACTCCTAAGCCGTCTACCGTGAAATTAATTCTATTAATTTATTAATTTCAATTTGTATTTGAAATATAATGTCAAAGTTTGCACGTTAAGTGTGTTAACCACATTCCGTGAGACGATGACTGATGTTGATACTCTCCAGAGCAATCAGTTTTAATTCTAAACGTCGATAATTAAATGGCATGTTAAAGTACATATTATTAAAAAAAGACGACCATTACTCCTGCTAAGTTACATGGGATAAATACAAAAGAAACCCAATCGGTTACAAAAATACTTATGCCGAGCACTTCACCATTGTTCTAGTCAAGTAAGTAAGTATATTAATTTCCGCACTTGCGTAGTATTTCATTACGGACAGATAGCGATTACAAATATGGCTTTTTAAATAAGAAATTGTACGATCCTTTACATAAATATAGACTTTTCTCGTGACCTATTTAATTTGTATACATTTCTGTAAATATATAAAAAATGTACTGTCTTTTATAATAATCTGTAAAAATTATAATATCGCACACAGATGATAATGAACAGAATGAGAGACATCAAATTATTCACAATAGATTTGACTAAGAATTTCTCCCCTCCGAGAGCTGGTAGCATTATCTCACTTCAAGCAGCTCAGAAATATGTATGTATGAGTGAAGAATATTAGCATATATTTCAATATTATTATATTAACCACAAACATGAAAAGCCAAGAATACAAGGAGAAGTGTATGTATAACACAAAATATTACATTAAAGCGAATATAGTAAAAGACTATACGACGCATATTAAATCATGATTTATTTATGATTTTATTACATAGAATACATCACATTTCACCAGTATACTGTAACTTAAGACTTCCTATATTTACTTAAAATTTGTTACAGTATACTCGACATCACGCAATGTGTGACATTGGAGTGTTTATATAATATTTTTATTACAATAACACGAATGCTATAAAACTATTACTTTTTTAACTTCAATAGATAGTTTATTTCGTCTTATACGTTATTTTTATTATTTGTGATCGCATTTTAAATTTCCATAGAGCTAACAAATAGTAGATAGGTATAATAATTTTAATGTGTTCTGTGTGTAATAACATTGCATTTTATTAAAAAGAAACCTTTGCTCGCTATTTCAAGTTTCTGCCGCAGTGGATTAGGTTATGCGTAGATATGTCAGTCAGCAAGTCAGTATGTCTCTTTTCGTTCAACTATATACTAAAATATGTTTATTATAATAAATAAATGACGTTATTAACTTTATCTCATAAAATCTATTTTAGCTCACAAACTTATACAATATTACACGATGTCAGCAGCGAAATGTCATTAAGATCATCACAAAGCGTAATCCTATGTATATTAAGTACTGATGTTACAAACAAATCAAATAGATTCTATTGTGACAATTTACAAGTCACAAAAAACACTCTGCATTGCCGCATAGTTACATAAGTAGGTAGGAAGGGTGGCATAGCTTTATTCGATAAACACAGTCTAGACATAGGCACTGTAAATATATCTGAAGATCAATGAATGTAATTAGAAATATTGTACAACATGTGATTGATTTTGTCTGTCCTGTCCTGGTAATACATTGCTATTTACTTACTTAAATATTCTCAATACTAAGAAATAATAACACATCGATGGTTATTTAGTCTATAAGAATAATATATTGAAGATAAAAAGACGTGAGCGGTATAAAACCATCTTATAAAATAAAATGCAACAACTGACTAAAATATATAAATATTGAACAATGTATACAACTGAACATTACACATATTGTACTAAATAAAGTTACGAAGTTTTACGAAACGCCGCAATGGTTTGCATCACGACAATGAGCACGCTCTCTCGGGCGCTGTTCGCGAATAACTGAAAGTGAGTTCAGCTTCAGTCCGCCGCGCCTGAGCTCTCAACTCTGAAGCTATTCAATGATCGGTACTTACGGGACAGCTTTTAGCCTTTATATCTCGTTGAAAGGCAAGCTTCATATAATAACACTTGAGTGCGAATGCGAACCAAAGTTGCACGACGAAATTGCGGAAGGGTTCATGAACTCAAAAAGGGGTAGTTGTTACGTAATTTTATATTGGGTTGTAGGTAAATATTCTGTGTATTTAATGCTAACATACATATTCAAAAAAACTAATTAATATAAGTTATTTTTAGGTTACTTTGTGTCAATAATCTAAGAATCAAACTGTACCTACATTTACATCGTGTAGCCGTATCATTGCCCTCATGTGGATCTATTTTTAGTTTACAATAATCCAAAAAAAGTCATTAGAAGCATTTGGTATTTGGAAACTAAAAGTGTATGTTCCTAATCGTAAATAATAGGGATTCACCCGTTCATAGGTTACGGTAACCATTTACCATCAGATTGGCCATATGCTTGATTACCATACCCCATTGCATTGAAAACATAAAGATCTATAAATATGAGTGAACATAGTTAATTATTCTTGCCTATAGTTCTTTTGAACTATAGGTTTTTTAACAAATAAATAACGGTATTTCTGTAAAGCTTGAAATTATTTTAGTGTTGAATCTTGGCATACTATACTTCTATGTGTACTCATTTATTGTTCCTTTAAACCATTCAATAGAGTGGATTTGCACTATTCCCTAGTGGTTTACTTTATCCCATACTTCATTTCATCACTATTATATTATTACGTACATATATAGCTTTATTTAGACACGACCTCGACTTCGTCCACGTGGCACAGTGAACTTGACCAACTAAAGACTTGCGACTAGATGTCTTTGTGTGAATGTTAATCCAGGACAGGATTATTATTATTTCTGTTTCATGAAATTCATAGCATTAGTCGTTGCTGTAATATGTACGTTACTTTACGACAGACCGTATTAAGTTGATAGATTATAAGTAAATACCTACACATAAACCGTTTAGGTGGCTTTAGTACAGGTTTTATGTTTTTCGATCAACTAATAGTATGCAGATATGATCGCATGTCAGTACTACATATAATATTATCTTATACAAATTATACGTATAATATCCTATTAATGTATGAGATGTATTCGTGTAAATGCCTTATTAGTATTTTCACTGCATTTCTTTTATGATGCATGCGTACTTTTCTCTCGGTTATTTCAGCCGTCAAGCAGTTTTTTTCGATTGAAAATTAAGATATGACACAGAAATTACTGAATATGGAGATTTGACGTCTTTGACCTCCAGAATGGGAACGCTCAATCACAGGAGCCACATAGTAATGTGATGTCGTAGAATCGTAGAGTAGAGTAATACAATCAATCCAACTGGCATTACATGAGGAGTACTATACATGAAAATGTGAGAGATCCATATTGAAGTTCATGTATGATATATAGACGATGGCTGCAACTTACGTAAATGGGTCGTCGCCTTGTTTGGTACCAAAATAACATAAAATAAAGTGGGCATTATATAGGATAATAACTATGTAGATTTAGATATAATATATGGTAAACAAAGTTAAAACTCAACACTAGCAGACTATTATGCGGCAATTTTGACATGCTTCATTATATGCACGCGAACACGCCTGATCGTATTTAACGATAAGAAACGTAGATAGGCCTTTGTTAGCTATACAAAATTTGTAGGCAACCAAAGTTTTATATTAATTTACTGTGTTCACTTTTAATTACGAAGTAACTATTTGACACAGATTTTTAATACAGATTTATGTTATACTTAATGTTAACAATAGAATTTGGAAGTCTCGCGATTTTAACATTATTTCCGATAGTCGCGGGTTCAGTACAAACATTTGTAATATTTTTATTGGTCTGGGTGGTTCCTATGTGGTGTATGTGTGTGTACAAAAAAAGTATTTATATCACTTGACTAATACTCATAATACAAGCTCTGCTTGGCTTGGAACTAGATTCCGCTGTGTGAATATTCCAGAGTTTTTATTATTATTATTGTATATATATTATATATATATATTTAGGAACAACCAAATATGTAAACTGAGTCAAGTGAACAGTAAATTTATAGAAGCAGTTTGTTAAATTGTAGACGAAGCGAAAGATGTATATTTGATCCGAAATATTAGGCGTTCCATTATCCCTGCCTACCTGGAGATAGGGTTGGTAATGCATTATCTGTAATGTATTCTAAAGTTATATGTATCATAACTACTCTAACCAAACTGTTCTTACATTACGGTTTTATTAAATAAATATAACATAACTAGAACGTTTTTATTTTTTCTAAATAATCTATGTATCTTATTAACAATTCAGTGCTCGTAGCTGTAAGTTGACATAAACGTCATAAACACACTACGAGAATACTTAATTATGATATATTACCAAGGTTACAATATAAACATAAACCTATTAGTCATCAGCAACTAAAAAATACAGGAAAATTTTGGTCTATGGAAGAATGCATATAATAAAACGTGTACCTACACCCATTTAATAATGAAAAATCTACAGTTATTAAAAGTTCCTTTCGAATTATTATATAATATTATCTTCCTACGTAGGTCTAATAATAAATTTATAGATAGATAGAATATAGGTACTTTATTTGTAACACAGTAAAGAAAAATGCATAAACAATATATTAAAGGACAACATGTATCGTTACAATAAGGCGGAAGTATACACTTACATGAACTACATACATAATTTTAAAGTAAAATAAAATAAACTAAATATAAATCAAAATACCAAACTGAATGAAATCTAAATATTGAGGAGGAAGTCTTTTACTTGTCGTTTAAAAATATGAATGGACTTTGCAGTTCTGATAGTTACAGGTAACGAATGTATATCAAAAACAATGTAGGTATATCTAAAATGCTACATATATTTGTCGCCAATGTGTTGTTGTGCAATGTTTGTAAGGAAAAGAAATAAATAAAAATTATTATTATTATTATATTAGGATAACATAATTACTCGTAAATATGCTACCATGCCAAATAAACAAAATAATAATTTTCGTTACTGTTCTAAACCAATATGTTCCTATGCCATCTATAAGAATACCCTACAATATGTGCAGGATAGTAGATTGTTAATAATGATTCCCTGATAATTTCGCTTCAATCACGTAACTAATCTAACTTCATGATTCTCATTCTATCATATACAGTTGTATAAGCGAGTGCATCATTCCCTTATCACCCATTAAAGAAACCTACCATACACACAATAGCAGTATAAGTATATCTTTGTGTATTTGAAATGGCACTAATATCACAGCCCACCTGACGGTAACTGGTAACCGTCGCCTATATATATATGAATATCACTAATGAACATCATGTTGCTATGTGATACTCGTACTGTTAGTCATACATTGCTATTATGGAAGACTAATATATTATACGTCCTATCCTGTAATTTCAAAGTGTTGTCTCGCTCTTCAACCAAAATACAGCTTACAAAGCTACTTGTACACGGAGATGACTTTTTACAGTTTATCAATTTAGTTACTTAAAATATAAATATTTTTAGCATATGGACTAATTGTCACTAATATTATCCACAGAAGTACCAACATCACATACACTATTCAACACGTACCTACTAATATGATAAAACCAGTAGTAATATTGTGTTTTTTAAATATTTAATTTCTGGTGTCTTCCTGTTTGTCTATTATTTATGATAAATTATAATTTTTGCTCGTTGATGGAACAAAACCGGTCAATTAACAGGTTACACGGAAGCTTTCCGACTTTCGGTGGATTATTGAATGATATCATTAACTTCCTTTTTAAAAAATATTCAAATCTATTTTTATCTTATTTGTGTATAAGTTTGTAACTTTATATAGTGGTGCCTCTTATTATACTATTATTATTTTATAGCTAAGTATAATTGACATTAAGTAGTGCCTAATATGATACCTAAGTGTCTTAGGTATAGATTAACGTACAAATATAAAATAAAACTCGAAGAAACAAAGATGTAATGCCATACAATGATTTCTCGATTATGGTTTGTGTCTCGTGAAGTAGCACCGTAACATGATTAGGCGAATTTATACAGCTTTAAATGTGTAACAAAATTATTAATTTGCTTATCAGTTCTAATACTAGTGAGCGTACACCGATAGCGCAACAGCTGTATTGAAAGGAGATCAAATGTAAAACCAACTAATATTTAAAAAAAGAATGAAGTGAGGACCCAATGCTGTACGGGCATGATAAAAAGTTACTATGTTAGTAATAAAGGTACTTACTTGTTTTTTGTTATAACATTTGCAACACGCAGATTATAATTGAAAAGGTTAACAAGTAAAAATGCTATTGCCATTAAGAATGATACGTACGTAAGAAGGTATGTTATGTTTTGTATCTTTTAACATTAAGTTTTCGTACAAACCTTACAATTTGCGTAATGTTCATTTACCACATCCCGTACGAGCAGTTCATATATATTTTTACCAGGTTCTTAGTCCGTAGTTTATTTATACAGCGCAGCGCATAAGCGCAGTTAATATTTCAATTTTAATCATTTACTGACTATTCTAAATATATTCTCACTTGATCCTATTTTATGGTACAGGTGATATGGGTTTATTTATTGGAATGAAATATTATAAACTAAATAAATTGTGAAATAAAATTAAAAATATTTTTGATAGATCCCAACGTATACCGTAAACGCAAGCATTCATTATTAGGCACACGAACAAACATGAACATTTAATGTAGGTATTTATAAATTAATAACAACTTTATGTCGCGACTGAAGCTGCGATGTGCTGTATTATTAAAAAAATATATTACATATTTTTTTAATAATACAGCTTTAGGAAGCAAAAAAATATTATGTAAATATTATTGATCATGTGTGTACTAATACAAATATGATTATCTGTACGAATATATGCGTATGGTAATTAAGAACCAGTTTTAGTCTGACAATAATTTTATTGAGCTTCGACATTTTTAACGCGGAAACAAGATTATATATAGGAACTCTTGCCGAATGTCATTGACAATCCAATTTTAAACGATGTTTCTTGTGAACCCTGACTTATCGGGGTCAATTGTTGGGTACAATGAACTGAAAAAAATTATTTGTTATATTCGTTTTTGTAATAACATAAAAAATGTAGAAAATGGGTTCCCTGCTATTTGCCGAACTGGATAGATAAAAAATTTATGACGTGCACATGTGACCAAAAGTGTCAATTTTCGCACGTAATAATTAGTGTATAAATAACTTTGACTTTTATATATATAAAGATAAATTTGAAAACAATACGTTTTGCTCCTCCGAAGAAGAAAAGAATATTTATAGGAGCAATAAATAATGTTTAGCATTATAATATTAAATTTAGTGCCATAAATTTTATTATGACTGCTGAGAATATAAAAAAAACTTGATGATTTTTATACCTACTCATTAATATATATCTCTTTATACTTAATATTAAGCTTTAACTTGTAACTTTTCTTTGACGTACCTCGTTAATAATATTCACTATTTTATTTAACTAACCAAATACAGGTTTATAATAAGAAAATATTAATCAAGAACACAATTTATGATTTTATAAAAAATACTGGCAATGTGGAATCTTACAATAAAATCAAATTATACATAGCATCGTATCCTCAGAAGGATGATTCATATCATACCCAGCGTTCCAAAATATTAATAGTTTAAAAAATATAGAAATAATTTGAATAGATTATTTTTTATATAAAAAAAACATATTTTATAATAAGTGTCCATGTATTATTAAACAGATATGATATTACGTTAGTTGTACCTATACTTCTATCATTTAGCGTAAGTATAAATAAATAAACACTACAGAAACTTGCTGTGATTTTTCTATTTATATATTTATAACCTCTGTTCCAAAATATGTTAAGTAGATAAGTAATTAAAGTAAGTAGTAAAGTAAAGTAAGTAGAGAGTAAAAAAACACCATGGAAGTAATTTCTTGGAAATATATTTTCAACGAAAGGTCAATAGGTAGGTATGTACGTGTTGTGCTTAGTATATATTGGGGATAGACTCAGCAAAATTTGCAAACAAACTTACACTATAACTGTATAGAATCTGAAATATATCCTTGTGCACCATTCATACATTATATACCCTTTTGTTTTAAGAATAGTACGATACTCTAGTTTGAAGATAAGACAAATCATAGCACTTGCCACATACGGTACAAACTCATCTATCTCTAACCCTCTTAGAATACACTCTAGATAGGCATATTAAAACCGGCTTAAAATATTTTGCTGTAATAACATTGACATTATTAACAAATACCTTCTGCTCTGCTTTACATAACTGCGAATCTTACAATTCACTCCAATTACTGAAGCAGGGTGTCTACTTAATAACGATAAAGTTATTGATTTACCTCTTTAATTGAACGAAAAATTATAGAAATATTAAAACATTTATTAGACTTTTTCATTCTTTTTTTTAACAATTACACATTGTGTATATTAATTGTATGTATACAATATACTAAACATAATTATTTATTTTTAAGAATTTAGATACTGCATATCTATAATATTTTGTTGCGTTGGGTTGAATGACAATGTTGTGAGATAGTGAAATTTATAAATAAATAATATCTCACACTAAAGAGTTCTTATGGTCATTAATAGACGAATTCATTGTCACCATAAGTTCCATTGACATCGTACTTATACCACATATAATATTACATACTTATACGAAGAATTTTAAATCTACAAATTTCTGCTCCATAGGATGACATATTGGAAATAAATATGCAAGAATATTTATTATACTCTTCTCTTTCGTATTCATGACACTCTTGCGAATTTTATAAATGTACAATATAGTATGAATTTGTTACTACCTTTAGACAATTTACACTACTCATCATATATCCAATTAACTATGATTTCATCATTAAAAGGAATCGAGAATTGATTAACATCTAATTATTTGTTATACTGGTATCTACAATGTATCACTGTTCTAGACAATAAAATGAACTTCGTTTTAATAAAAAATAAAGGATATCGGTTTAACACTATGTGATGTTGGCTTGAGCATCTATAATGCTACCGACTCGCGGAAAGAACATAAATAAGTCGCCCAGTCGACATGCCTTCACAGTAGGTGCTGAGCACTTCGTCCAAAAACTTATCCTCAATTAATTTTTAATTAAAAAATAGCAACAGTACTGTACAATGCAGGCAATATTTAGTTTCGTGCTATTTGGTATTTTCTGTACCACCCTTGGAGAAGAAAGTTATTTACGTAAGTCTTGAATTATTTATATCTGTTTGTTGTAGCATTTTTCAATATATTTCAGAAATAATAGTATAGTGTTCTAAAACAGAACACAATACTTAATATAACATATAAATTGGTGTCAATAAAATATATTATAATTATTATTATTATTCATTGTTGCTTGTTATAAAATACTAACTATACTCGTATTTGAGTCCAAGTCACAGTATGTGTATATCCTAAGTATTTTGTTGTTATAATAAAAAAAAATTAAAATATAATCAATAATACGTCTTTGTTATGGTTTAATCATAAAGATATATTTTTTAAAATAGATATAACGGAATATCTGTGGCTCAAAAGTTTTAAAATTACTATGACAATATTCCAGCATGGAAGATAGTTGGGGATGTTGAAGTTCTTATTCGGTACTAGTTCGTATTGGGTTTATCCTATTTATGGTTGTTATTAAGTACAGTTGGATATATACCAATAAATGGTATAATACGACAAAGTATCTCAATATTTACAACTTTACATTATTAAGTAAGTAAATCTATTAGGTACTTAAATAACAATGATAATTATCTCAGAGGTATTCCCGTGTTATAAATAAGTAATCGCTGTCACTTCACAATTATTTCACTACTTATTTATACATATAATATTCTTTAATTACAAAGAAACTAGAAAACATTCAATCGTGCAACAAACAATATGCTAAAATATAATAGGATAAAAATTAAGAAGTTTTTGCAATTGGACTATAAAGGTGTTTTTATATACGAATGCATCTCCTTGCAACCCATTTCAACCCATTGCACTCATAATCTTTTAAATAATTTAATAATTATCTCATTATTTCAAGATGTTTTTGTGCATGTTAGTTAAAACATAAAAGTTTTGCATCAGTCTTTTGAATTGATTAATCAGGTTTTTGTGGAATAAAAATATAAAATTTTTAATGAGAAATATAATTTTGATCAATATTACAATTTTGGTAAATAATATTTACGTATTGGAGATACGTATTAGTTGATAACTTTCGTATGTGACTTCAATATTATCACTTTAAGGATTTTTAACTACAATAGCTCAGTCTGTATTATAAGCCGAGTCAGAATTTAGCATTTTTAAAAAAGTAGGACAGTAGACAGCTTTAATTACGTTTAAATTTCAGTTTTATTTTATCATAATTGAACCTCTGGGTTCTGAAATGTAGGGTTGTTCATTTCAAAGTAGGCATCCTAATTCTACTTAAATTAGGATGCTTATATGATTATATGAAAATTGTTTGTTTATAGGTAGGTACACTTTGAAAATTCGATACTAATTGGAGTTATTACTATTTTTTGTATAAAAATCTCTCCTTTTATCATAATTTTCTGTTTTTGTGAAGTCGATGAAATATTATACATTTCAGGCGAAATTTAATGGAATGACGTTTCTAAATATAGATTTTGAGAAAAAATTTAAAAACAATAACAAAAAATAATTTTACTTCGACTTGATTTTATAATCATTAATTTGTGAATTAAAAAACCTAACGACATTTTACATCGTGTTCATAAATCGAAAATACTTTCCTGTTTGTAACATTTTACTTCTTACCAAATTAAAAAAATATCTAATAAACAACAACACAAAAACTTGTTTACAATATTTGTCATAAACCCTCGCAGTTAGTTCATTTTTTTTTTATATCGAAACTATCAGGACGGCACGGGGACTAATAAAAATGATAAATTTGGACATACACCCTACGATATTGATGTCTTTTATAAAACTGTATTACAGCATACCTACATATTGCTCTATTGTTAAGAATTATCTAGCGTAGCGTACGTGATATATGTAATTTTATCACATGTTGGGTTACATTATAGAAAACTTTCATTGCGTTCATAATTTTTGTAAAATTATATCTCGTCTGTTTATCAGGAATTCCAGAATTTGATAAAAGATTGTTTCCAATCAGTCTAGCAGTTTTGGAATTATATAATGCAAACAAACAAATGATTAAATATTTCCTCTATTAGAATAAATAAAGTATAGTTAGCAACACAAAATATTTTTGTCATTAACAAAATTAAAATATTTTATTCTATTGCCATAAGTAGATCTATCAATTAAGCAATAAATTAATGTTGTATAAAAGTATGCAGAATTAGGTTTCAAAAATATTGAAAATTATTTTCAGACTGACATGTACGTGTTAGTGTATACAGTGTCAATGTACATTAACACAATCATATCAATATCATATATTACACTGATAACTCATGAATATCAATATTTGTATTATATGAGAATCAAATATGCGACCGTCAAAACAACTAGATCACCGATGGTAAATTAAGAAAATTAAAGTTACATAAACAATCAACTAAGCTGTGTTAAAATAAAAAAATAAGCATTACACTTCTTTCATTTTTGCTCTTTACTTCACAAGCGAGAAAATCTAAAGGCTATATATAAAAGCTTTGATCTGAATATCAGTTTCATTATACTTTATCAACTCGCAAAACTACTTTAGGTTATTTAAAATGCGTCATTAAACATGGTCTGGATCAAACCGGCTGTTATGATACACTACAATAGTAACCAGTTAAACTTGTTTTGAATAGGCCATCTATTTTTACTTAAAATGGTACACAAAAAAAAAGCAGAGAATAATAATAAGTTAATTTCTTATCCAGCTAAAGTGTTGCTTGTGTTTATATTTGTTATTTATTAATATAACTTATTAGAATAATTTTGCAAAGTCTAAAAGTACTAGGTGTAGATAGATAGATGTTCATCTACATAAATACTTAAAAGTAACATATTTCAGTAATTTTCAACAATTTTCGCTGTAAGACTGCACTGATTGTAAATAAATTTAATATTTCAACAAATTTTAGATGTATACAGCCTTGGCCAAAAGTATTAGGCACCCTACATTTTACTAAAAATAATAATTAAAAACAACTTATACTTTTTGAATTGATTTATTACCATTAAATTACACAAAAAAGAATAAAAAAAACTTAAAATCTAGTCGGTTCTTCTTTGGATTTCATTACTGCTCTAATTCTAGCTGGCATGCTGCGTACAAGCATAGTGCAATCCTCCCTTATAATGGCATGCCATTCTTGTACTAACCCATTTTTAATGCCGTTTTCGATGTAGTACTATGCTCTTTAATCTTGCGCTTCAAAATGCTCCAAAGATGCTCAATTGGGTTCAAATCTGGGGGCTGTGCTGGCCCATGCAACAAGACAATGTTGTTTTCAGTAAACCAATATATCAAAGTCGCTGACTTATGACAAGGTACATTGTTTTGCTAGAATATGACTCCGTCTAAGTTGGTATCGCCGAAAATACTCGTTTGCGAAGGTATAAGCGCAGTTTCAAGCACTTTTATGTACTTTTCGCTGTTCTTATGACCTTCACAAACAAACATTTCGTCAACCCCTTGAGCATCCATGCAGCCCCAGATCATTACGCTGCCTCCTCCGTGCTTTACCGTAGGTACAACACAATCTGAATGGTATTCTTCGCCCACACGTCGCTTCACGAAGGTCACACCTGGCGTTCCAAATATCTGTTGAAAAATTAAAATAAAAAGAATTTTTAAACTACCCTAACTTTTATTATTTCAGTAAAATAAATAGCTGACAATGATTATTAATAACAAAAGCAGTAAAATTTACTTACTTCAAAGTTAGATTCGTCAGACCACACCACATTGGCCCAATCTTCCTCAAAAATGTCAATGCCGTAGAGCCAATTCAAGCCGTTTTCGTTTGTTAGCTTCTGAAAGCCAGAGCTTCTTCCTAGCTTTGTATCCTTTTAAACCCGTTTCTTGAAGTCGTCTTCTGGTGGTCCGAGCACTTATTGGCTTTCCAGCCTCTTCGGACAAAGCAGTAGCAAGGTTTGATGATGTTTTCTTCCGATCTTTCATAGATTCGCGTATTAATTTTCTATCCTCATGCTTCGAAGTCACACGTTTTCTGCCTGTTTTTGGATTATTAGCATGACTGCCAGCCTGAGCAAACCGTTTGATGGCAAATTGCAGGGCAAAACGCGAACATTTCACTAATTTAGTAATTTCTTTTTGCGACTTCCCCTGTTCATGGAGAAGTTATATTTCTACTAGATTTTCCAAACTAATTTCACTTATTTTCGGTATTTTTAAGTAAATTAGGCGTCAATTTAATCACTGAGTTAGATATAAAAACTTGTTTACTAGTTAGAGTCTTGAATACAAGTGACCAAACATTGACTAATAATAATGCAAAAAATCGATTTCTTTTCAGTCACCAGGTGTTTTATGACCATCAAAAATAGAGGTTTGCTTTTCTAGGAAGGTATTTGTGACCCCGGTATGCCATCTAAGATAAGCATTTATTCATTGTTCAATTGGTAAACATGAATTGTGCATTTTTCTGGGGTGCCTAATACTTTTGGCCAAGGCTGTATATAAGGAAACAGAGAAAGTTACGTAATTCAAATTTAAACTCAAAATCATTTATTCACGTAGGACCTTTCGGCTTCTCATACACATATTTTTTTTTATCCTTACCGTATCGTTTAGCCAGCTATTTTAATTGAGAATAACAATCAAAATCCTCAACTGGTACATTTTGTCATGGTATTAGGTACTCTTTTTTCAGTTTCAATCATTAAATATTACATTGCATCTAACATATAGTATAAAATATAAAATACTTAAGCTATACAAGTGACGCCATAAAGGTAGTCTACCAAACTGCTACCATAATACTTATTATTACAATTAAAGCATACTTTTAAAATTTACGAGTATAAGAACTACTTCATTATGCGAGAAGAAGGTAGGTAGTTCGTAGGTACACCGAAACTACTTCACTAATTCTTTCACTATTAGAATGGTACCATTACCTATTCCAAAGTGATATATGCTATATTTATGTTAGTTTATACAATACACACAAGCTCTATATAATATATATATAATAAATAATAATAATATCTGGGCTGCTACTAATGTCATATTTTTATATACAAACAAAATAATAAGAAATATAGACATATATTATAATAGTTTTCAACAATTACGGATAAATAAGAGCAACTTAAAACTATATTTATAAAGAAAGCCTGAAATGCAACAAAACATTTCATATTGTAAATAACGCTTCCAGGTATTGCTATAAATTCTTAAGAAACAATTGATTTGCGTTGTACATTTGCTTACGACAATCGTCACGGCATTGTTAGCACGTGATCAGAGTTTTGAGCAATTTAAGCGAGTAGATACATAATATAATTTGTAATTGATCGAGTCTTGAATATCGATAATTATTGTTGTTTACGTAATAATTAGTCATTGTAAGTATATAATATGTAACCGTTATTTTTCATCCCTATGATGAGAATGTTTTGAGACGCCTCTAAAATAACCAAATTCAAAAAATAAAAAACAAGTGCATCCGCGCAAAGAATAGTCAATATAAAAACCCTCTATCAACCCACCTGGCTACCATGGAAATAATAGATCTATACACGACAATAGGATGATAATGGGTTGTTATGACGATGGCAATCAAAATATATCATTATTATATTCGAACATACGTAGTTCACTGTTGAACATATGATTTTGTAATCTCAGCCACTCCACCGGAACACACGGCTAATGACCAAATTTTTAGGCGGCAAGAATACATTGTAAAATGTTCAAAAACCTTCAAAAGATTATTATTTTCATTCTCATGACATGCTCATTTTCATTTCCCATTATAAGTGTATCTATTGCCTTTAAAGCACGTGTGAAAATTGTTTTCATTTGTTTTCCCAGCTCCATATATTAAAACATGTCACATAGATGACGTAGAGATATCGAAATGCATTAAAGAACAAATAGAAGCCAGTCTCCCCTACTTCACTAAAGGTGTGCCAGAGTTGAACGTGCCCTCGATAGACCCTGTGCAGTTGAACGATATCAAAATTGATGGGAATGGACTCCTTTTAAAGTTTACTGATGCCGCAATGCACGGGCTTAGCGAAAGTAAGCTTACGGACTTAAAGTGAGTATACCTGGTATTTTTCTTGTTTATTTAAATAAAAAAATCCAATGAAATATGCTTATATCCCGCCCTATACATGTGCCTGCAATACTTACAAGTGTTGTAACGGGAGTGTTACCAATCTAAGAAACTAGATAATTCACAATATTAACTATTTTTAATATATACAATATAAACTATTTTTCTTTTGTTTTATTTTTATTTACTTGGTCGCAAGTAAATAAAAATAAAACAAAAGAAAAATAGTAGGTTGGTAGTTTAGTAGCGTAAAAATCACTATATACCTATGGACCGCACAAAGAGCAAAGCCATTTTTGGTAATTTTAAAAATATTTTATTGTAACTTCTTAAAAAGAAACTTATTGTCCAAAAATTATGATTCAACAAACTGGTATCGACATCCTCATTTATATCCAGCTTTCTCGCAAACAATATTTCTCGACAGAAAGATAAATACTCCTAATTATATATTAAAAAACCTTTTTACGGTAAAGAAGTAGGAATACAATTTGCCACTCATTCTAGTTCCCACGATGTACTAGCTGGCTTCTATATTATACTCTAGATAAAAATTAAATAGATAAATAAAAACCAGCTAAACAATAATGGATTATAATATAATAGATGTATCAATATATACAGGTTCCCGTTTTTATATAGAGTTCCTTATATGAATTTATTTGGGTATGTATTTAAATTAGTAAAAGAGACTGTCAAATAATTATTAATTATATTCTTTTCGTGACTACCCTATTAACACATAAATAGACATAGCGCTTATTACAATGGCTCCTATGCACATATATGGTTTTCCTGTGTGTAAAGTTTTTCATATGTACTGAGACAACACTGTAAGTATCGACTTTGTATTGTATTATTATAAATGACAGATGGCTTCCACTTACTCAACATTAAAAATATTTTATTTTATAACAAATATGAAATTTCAGATTTTCAGGCCATAGTTAACAAGCCTATCGTTGTAGCGTAATGAACAGTAATGATCGAGTCAAGAACAGAGATGGGCATTTTAATTTAGTTACAGATATCGTTTTATTACGAGGATTAGTTTTACATATCTATAAGAAAAACACAGAACAAAGTTCTAGTTTAGAAACTATCAAACAAAATAAATAATTAGCCACATTTCAATACCTGCATGTCAACAACAAAGCACTACGGTTTATTTTATGAAAATTACTTTGCAAACTAACATTGAGATCTGTATTTGGACTCGATTTAATAGAATTAAAGTTGAACTATAGACTGCATCTTAAGTCAAGATTATTCAAAAATAAAATATTGTATAACAAAATGAAAACTTTATATTTATAGCGTCTACAGCAGACAACAATACCTACTATGATTTTAATAGAATTTATATACTGTATACTTGCTGTATATACTTATACGCGTACTTATAAAGGTAACAATTAAAGATACTTGTAAACCCAGTGATTACGCATTGCAGTTAATGAATTTATTACTCGCTGACTGCATTGAACTTGTGCAATAACATTGTAAGTTCATTGTTATAGCTCTATTATATTCCGATACATATTTAGATCGATTGTATATGAGACTATTCAATAGAATGATAAGGTAATAAAATTCATTTAGATTTCTCAAACAGAACAAATAGAAAAATGTGTGTAGTAGATTTGTGAACTATTACATACTACCTAATTTTCAAACTGGAATAGCCTGTATTTAAGATAAAACACAAGATAATATACGGATACATGTATAAATTATTTTCAAATTAAAAAACAACGTCACTGCTCATTTAACAACTAAACACGTATTCTCTTACAAAACTTCGTTTATTACACACCGTTGAGGTCAAGCTTGAGGGCATTGAGGGCTAATAACTTTATTAGTTTGTAAATATAAAAAATCTACTTCTCAGAGTCAACGTGGGTGTTACCGACCAGGAATTCAGATTAGTATTTAAAGGAAATCTGAGTTTAACAGCCAAGTATGAAGTAGATGGACGTATCCTCATTCTGCCGATTCAAGGAAATGGAGATGCTTTAGTATATGCGCGTAAGTCTACCTTTACTTTTATCGATAAAAATAATATTAAATTTTAGTGTATTGAGGAGTAGTCCACGGAATATTTTTAGAGGGATTTAATTCTTCTTGTTCAAGATTATATTTATACCGAGCCACTAGGTCTTCTCGACTCCTTCAATTTTATATAAAAATATATAGTGGTAAAACTAGTTACATTACTGATTTTTTTTCGAAAATGTGAACCATTTTAGGTGCTTATTATCGAGGTCGATGCGTTTCGTTTCGGTACAGAGACAGTGAATTCTTTGATAAAGACTGTCTGTATCAAAAACAGTCTATTAGAAAACTTTGATTTAATTATATGCATTCGATACGGAAGCTAAAGGTGAAAGTTCGTTACAGAAAAAGGCACACCGATCCAGTTAAAGTGCCTAAAATTGTGAGGGACAATTTAACAAGTACCAATGTATTTATTTAAATACTAATAAAAGTCATATTATAAAATTTTCAGAGGGCGTGGAAGTTGAAATCAACAGCAAACTAACACAAGTGGATGACCCTAAGGGTGAAAAACACTTCAAACTGATCACACCCACCTACAAATATACCATAGAGAAAACAACTTTCGATTTGAAAAATTTATTCAACGGTAACAAACAATTAGGTAAGTGCTTAAAACTTCTTTTAAATCTAATAGGGGTGTAGCTGAGACGAAATCACGTGATAGATGAAACTGAATAACTTACTCCATCAAAATACTTTATACAAACGGGCATGGAAAGCTTGAAAAATATTTTTAGACTAGTTCCTGTCAGTGATACTATTCCTGTAATGATAGTCACTAGTGAGTACTTTTTAAAATATGTACTATCTATGGGGAAGGAGATTGTTAGTAATGTATAGGGCTCTAACTCAATTGTGGAACTTTATGTGGAGAGAATAAACAGGCTTCAGGATACAACCATTTGTTTCAAACTCCACCATAGTAGAGTCCACTTCTCTCCCTGAGGAGCTGTCGCCAACAGTGTCGCTAACAATGTACCACGGGATGGGATTGAGATGGGGTGGTAGTAGTTGATAAATTACGTATATAGTTCACTAAATAATTGTTATATATTTGCTATGGAGTGATCATTCTGTCCTCATATTTTCAGCTGAAACAACTCTTCAGTTCGCTAATGAAAACTGGCAACAATTAATGGACGATCTGGCGCCACCCGCAATAAAGCAAATCGTACGAACCTGTGTGAAGGCCATCAACAAATTTTTCGCCAATGTGACAATTTCTAGAATAATTCGAGGATATAAGACCAGTTAACAAAATTCATTGTGATATTAACATATAATACTATATAATTTTATTGTTCCCTAGTTGTATATCACGGCGCTGCCTGCCTGAATACAGCCATGTTACTCGTTGATAGTATCTATTGATGATTTTCTTTTAAGTGGTAAAGTATTAATTCAGTATATCTATACATACAAAGATATCTATATATACAAACAAAGAAACATACAAAAAACTTTCCACTTTATGAAATTAGTATAGAATATTAATCCTAATAGTGTAATAAATGTGATTTAGTTTAGATTGATAGATTCATCAATGTAAACACACCAAAATCGTTCGTTACTTTGAATTTATAATTTTATTATTATTGCGCTTATTGTACATACTCGTACATATAAAGAAGATATATAATTAATTATTATGATTATACTCAACCTATCTTGATAATCGTAGTGACAACTGATTTATCCTAATATTCACCATCATTGTTATTATATAAGGATTTACATACTTGTAGTTGTTGAAGCTTTTCCTTTTTTAATCATACATAAAACAGAGTTAAATTGTTTGTCTATTTATATGGTCTCTGGCCGTAATTAAAAGCTGCTGATATTTTCTACGTAAGAAAGTAAAATAAGCGACTATTGTGCGCTCCATTACCCGAAGGTTATGGTAAACTGTTTGTTTTCTTCTAAGACATCAATAAATTAGATAAACTCATTAATCAATGTTAATTTATATTTATAAAAACATGTTATGATGAAATTAAATAATAATTTTCTATTTCAATATTTCATTTTATTTCTTTCCCATTCATTATTAAATTGTAAAAATATAATATATTGTGGGCATATTATTTAATTTATGTAATTTTATATTTTTTCATTTCTTTATTTGTTCAAAATATTTTCATGTAGGTATTAATTTTATTTTTATTCAAGTTATCTAGTATAAAATTTCTAACTCTCTCAGACGAAAAACTAATCTATATTTGAAAGAATTTAAGAGTTATTAAATTTGACTTAAGTACGAGTACATCATAACACAACAGATCCTATTGTACACCTATCATTGTACAATTGCACCACCTTAATAAAATTAAAAAGTAATAACAGAATAATATAGGTACTTATATATTTATAACTGGTCTACAGGTTGTACAACGTTTCCGACTTGGAAATCAACAATATTGCGATTAGATGAGGCAGTCGATCTAATCGAGAACTGATCGTCCAATGTTTGTAAATTTACTTCAGTATTCCGAATCGGATTTCGCCATTCTGGTAATTTCCATCCACGCTTGTATCCAACATATCCGATTAAAACGCCGACCAAGATTATAAGTCCTATTACCATTCCAATAATACCAGCTTGGGAGAGTGGTGCAGGTGTTTCTGTAAAGGAAACTCCGTGTTAATGTCATAAATTCGAAAATTGAACGTCTGTCTGTTACCATTTTACGACTAAATGACTGAACAGTACTTAATTAAATTTCCCAGAGAAATTGAATGTATCCTAAGCACGGACATAGACCATACTTTATCAATAAAAAAGATCAGAAGAAATCGTTCTTAACAGGTAGTTTCGTATATATTTTTTTTTATATTGAGATGTTATGTATTTTGCATCGGATAAAAGGTAGTGAATACTTAAAGATTTATACGTTTGACTATGTATGTATTTTTTATGTAACTGGTATGGGGACAGCCTGACAGCCTGACAGTTTATCTGATGGTAAGCGAAGACAAACTGAAAACTCATTTATTCAAATATTTCTTTCGGCCCTTAATTACGTCCTATTTTTTATCACTATTCTTACAGTTCTGCTCGGCTAGATACTTCAATTAGGAAGAACTATGTATAACTAAGCGTGGCCCGTATACATGAATAGCACTATGGATATCACGATTTCACACAACACATTTTTTTTTTCACAGGGGTCAAACGAGCATGCGGCTCACCTGATGGTAAGTGATTACCGCCGCCCATGAGCACCCGCAACACCAGGGGAATTGCAAGTACGTTGTCGGCCTTTTAAAAAGGAATAAGCTCTTTTCTTGAAGGTTTCAATATCGTATCGGTTCGGAAATACCATTGCTGGAAGGTGATTCCACAATGTGGTTGTGCGGGGCAAAAGTTTCTAGAAAACCGTACTGTGGAAGACCGCCATTCATCCAGATGATCAGGATGGTATTTCAGTTTCTGGCGGGTGGTACGGTGTTGAAACTCAGCAGCTGGTATTAATCCGAACAATTCCTCAGAACCCTCCCCGTGATATATGCGGTAGAAAATGTACAGAGATGCAATATAACGCCGCAAAGCCAATGGGTCGAGTCTGTCACATAGACGTTGATTACCAATGATTCTGGCTGCTCGGTTCTAAATGCGGTCAAATGGAAGTAGCTGGTATTGTGGTGCTCCCGCCCAGAGATGAGAACAGTATTCCATATGCGGCCGGATCTGCGCCTTATATAATTGCAAGCGATGGGCCGCCGTAAAATACCGTCTCACTCTACTGAGCACACCAAGCTTTTTTGAGGCTATTTTAGCCTTGTCCTCCAAATGACCGCAAAACTGAACGTCACTGGATATATCAACGCCAAGGACCTCGAAATTTGGCTTCACATCAAGGAGGGTGTCTTGAAACTGAGGAGATACGATAAATGGAATCTTTTAGCGGTAAACGCGCATGTGTAGCCTGTGTAGTCATTCCCAATGACTAAGATTTCGTGCCTCTATCCTATAATTTCACTACCTAATCCGCACCCTACACTCTATCAAAGAACGTTGCTGGGCAACTGAAATAGGTGAGACTGACGCGCCTTTCTGTCCGTCTGGTAAAACACTTAGTTAAAAATAAAACGTACTATCGACATTTAATTCAATAACTTCTCTTGATTCTATTGTGGTCTCACTGACAACAGCTGCACATGTCCATTCTCCTATGTCTTCCTCGAGAACCGGATTTATACTAAGTGAACAATCTCCGAAATCCAGGTGTCGATCGGGTGTAAAATAGAAACGATCTAATATTGCGCTGAAAATCAAACAAAATGTTATTATATCTATACTACCTATAGATCTAATTACAGACACTTACGGTAAGTCAAATCTATCGCCAATTCTGAAAGTAGTTCAAGCCAAGAAGAACTAACTCTCCCCTCACTCTTTTCAAATGCCATTGTACATCATTGTCATATTATAATACACAATTTTTTTAACTTTAGGACGAATACGCTATTAAATTACCATCAGAATATGCTATTAAATGACATTAATTTTTATTAAATAAAGCGAAGTCTTTCAGTAGAGCCCAAAAGATTGACCACAAACCAAAGACAAATTAACCGTATAAACTGCTACTGTAAATTTTATTACTTTAAATAGATTCATCGACGAAAGACATAAACTTGAGCATATTCAGAAGCTTGAGCATACACGAAGTGAAATTATTCAGATATGTTTCTATTAAAAAAAAAAACTTACTTATCTGGTGTTACAGCCGAATCTATAGTTATTCCTATGTTTTTTGGAGACAAAAATCTGCAGTAACTCAAAGGTCTTCTTCCATTTGAGCTGTGACAATACAATGTAGCCTCACTGCCAATTCTAGTAGAAACTTCATCCACATAAGCAGCAAGTGGACCAGTAACTCGAATGTTTAGTTCATTAGTGATTTCTACACCCAAGTCCCTAGGGCCCATGTGACAAGTCCATAGCCCAGCATCCTCCTTCTTAACATGTGCAAATGTAATATCACAATCTCCATTTTGATGGCTCTCATATGAATGCGTCCTTTAAATATTAAGATATTTCAATATTAACTATTGTAGGGCAGTGATATCACCTCATCATCATATCGTTGTGTATGATGTGATAAGATGTCGCTACATAATATATTTTTATTAAAGTGTTATTGTAGTATCTGAGTAGCGAGTATACCGGTGGAATGAAGTATACTATTTATTGTACAGTAGTAAGTTTATTTGATTATTAGTAACGCGTACATTCAACGCGGAGTCAGAACGTAGACTAACTTCACACTTAACTTAAATCTATGTTATCTGGAAAGGTACTATAATGGAAGGGTGAAGTTTACAACGGGTTATAATATATGTACTCTATGCTACGGGTAGCATATTTTGTAAGGTTTTTTTTATCTATACGTCACTAAATTTCGAATTCCCGTTAGTAGAACGGTTAGACAGTTTTATATTCAGATCAAAGTATTAATTAAAATTATATACTTATTTGAAATATATACGGAAATCTAAACTCACCAGAATTCTTGTATACTGCCATGAACAAATGGCAATGGTGTAAATTGAGTACCATTGGGATGCTGAAACCAGCAATATGTAAGTGAAACTTCAGCATGGCAGCTTATGGTGAAAGACGTGTTTTCTTGAACAAATATAGTTCTATCTTCGACGACGTCATTATTACTCTTATGTTCAATTGCCATAATATTATCTAAAAATAATTATAACAATCGGTTCTTATATTGTAATTGCACTACTTTTAATGCTTGTATTTATTGGCATTTGTCACAAATTTGGCAACGAAGCCAAAGCTCACTGAGTACATACACGATCATAACAAAACAATCAAGTGATCGGCCAGATCTAATACAAATTTCGTAAATTATTTTTGGTACATATTAATTTATTACAAAAGTGTTAGATTCATGAAATTTAATTCCTAGTTGTAATTAATAAAATATCATTGTTAAACCCCTTACTATCTTAAAGTACGCAATGCCTCCAATATGTTAAACACTACAATATAAAACATGCTAATATAATTAGTTATAACCTGTAGAATACCCGTAAGTATGTTTTATAGCTTCATTACTTAGTTATAATTATTAGAAAATATATACATTATGGTTACACTATACTCACGGCTAGACAGTGGAGGGATATTAATCAACGCCTGAAATGGAGTTTGATTCTCCGTATGGTGTGGGAAATCCACCCACTGTTTCACACCTACTGAACATCGCCAAGTACCGAAATCTTCATTAGTAGGATGTTCTACAGTTAAGCCGCAGTGTTTTACAATAAAACCATTGCCATAATAACTGTAAGATAATAATAAAAATAGGAGTGAGTCATCTATACATAGTATATAGTAGTAGATATTATAAAAGAAAGTCCCCCGTCGGTTCTATCTATATGTGCGCTGTAATCACAAAAAAACAGTAAATGGATTTTCACTTGGTTGGCATCATTTATTACCCCACCTTTTATCGAGAGGTTGTGAGTTAATATCTAGGTGATAGCAATACACATTACGAGACAATTTTACAAGAAGATCCACTGATATACACACTAATATTACACCAAATTAATCAGAGATGCAACACGCGGCGGTAAGCTCGCCCCCTGCGACATTGGATTTAATTAAATACGCAAAAAATGAAACGAAAGTAGGGCATGTCAAATGCCAGGTTTACCACGGTATTGACAATTGATTATACTTCGAATTATCTGATGTGAGATAGCAGTCGTGGAGGCATATGTATTTCATATATTTCGAAGATTTCACATACTTCAAAATATTTTCTAGTTAGAGTACCAAATACATGATTACGGTTTGAGTAGTATAGCATGAGTCATAGATAAGATTTTGGTACTTTTTATTGTAAAAGAACCTTAAATAATGATAACTTTTTATTTTCCAACGTAAGTCGCAGTGTATATGTATATATATCTAATGTTATTAACTATATGACAATAAACTCCTATTACCTGTGACTGCCATCACTTAATCCATCCATTATATTGAAGCCCAGTGAGTCACTCATCCTTTGAAAACGACAAAAAGTTATATTTTTTACTGAATACTGTATATTGCAGTACAGATGAAGTTTGTTAGATGCAGAATCATGAATATATCCGGCATCCAAACGCTCCCCTAAAAGAGCGTACCAAAATTTAAAGCCACAAAGCATATGTAGAGACGTACACTCACAGATCTAACAGATAAATATTAATATCTACATAAAAATTATAAAACTATTATCTAGCAGTTTGCACGCACATTAGAACACAAATTTCACCTAGTAAATTTTGTGAAGATTATGTTACCGTTTATATCAACAAATAACCTATACGTAAATAGCCTAAATAGCCTATTACGTACCATTAGGTTAATCGCAAACAATAAGTTAATAGCAAATTGTTTACATCACATATACAACAAGTGCCAATAATTAGTAGTCCTCTAGACATGTAACCACAAGATTTCATTACTGCGGAGATAAAAAAAGACAGCAGTCTGCAATTCTGTATTCTGTAATCTATCTATTGCGCTGAGTTGATCGCCACGTATAAATTCATCAGAAATTTATTCCTGATGAATTTATACGTGGCGAATTTATAAGTGAATTTACCAATATATTTTAAAAGGCAAACATTTAAGATAATGATCATCTTGTCTTGACAGAGCAGCCCAAACAATCTATTATAACTATATTATTTGAATAAAAAAATAATTCTTGTGATGAAAAGAAATAATAAAACATTATTTTCATCACACGAATAACGTGTGTACTTTTTTATGTAACTAATAAGCTAATAAACCACCCGATAGAAAGTGGCAACCGTCGCATCGACAATATAGTTGTATGAAAAATTTACAACAAACAGATATGGTATGCTATAGTGTAGCATCGACTATATAAGTCGATGCTACACTATATATGCTCATCCTTCAAACGGAAGTATTGCTCACAATCAGAACTTATCTAGTATTATCATAAAATATGAATAATTTTAATACCTATATGTCTATATAAAATATCAAATCTATGATTATTATTAAAAATATTTGAATTAGATAACTATCGGCACGACTGGTTACAATGTTATGACGCTTTCAGTGGTTTAGTACAAACAAACTCAACTTAGTTCAACACTAGATGGCGTTGGCTATGTGAAGTATACTAGATTAATATTATTAGAATACGATGAAATCTTTACGGGCTTGGGTATATTACAGCAATTTTTCATACCTTCTACATCGACACGTCTATCTGCAGATACTTCTTTTACCTGACCAGGAATACCAAGAAGTACGTTCCAATTACCCTGAACGGCTCTAGTTGTTCGATCTAGTGTCACATTGCAGTGTCCCGATACTAAAGAACTATCAGAGAAAGGTTGCGTAACAAGACAATAGGAATTGTCGAGAGTGGTTAGATTTACAACTCTATGTATTTCGCCGTCGAGTAGAGATATCGGCGATGTTGGATATGTCGATATATTTTCTGAAAAATAAATAAATCACACATTCATTTGTAAACAAAATAAAAATATCTATCAAAGTACATATTTTATTTAACATGCATATTTTATTAAGATATATATACCATATATATGTTATTTTCCAGAAGTTTATTATACCTATTGGGATTTATCTAATTTTGTTTTATTCAACTATGTGTGAAACCACAAATATTCAACACGGAAATCTACCATCACTAAATATCATGAACTTCCCTATTAGCGATCAATTTCCGATTGTTATTGTCTAGTTCCATTGCCACACGTGTTTCGACTCTAAATAGTGCATCATCAGGAAATCATAAGAGCTTGGAAACTAGTAAGTCCAGAGTGCTAGTAGTAGTCTGGATGCCGAATAGTCAACACTAGGCTTCCAAACTATATATCTACGACCTGTATTTATTGGTATCGAAATTAAACAAAATAATAAAAGTCCCTTAATTTATCTTCGTTCACATTAATATCATGGAGGAATTTTCAAAAGACTTAAAAAATGAAGATGTCAATTCCTTTGTTATATGCATACTACGTTATATATACATATATTATATTAAAAGTATAAGAAGTAAAGTTCATCACATTGGTCCTACGTGCAAATAAAATTATACATATGTAGATAACATCGCGCCGCTAATTAATATAATTTATTCTAATCAAGATATATAGATACTTATATCAGTCGGCTGATAATATAGTCTTTGAATAATTTATTTACCTACATCCAATGTTAATACCCAATTGTGTCTGTCCGTTACCTTTTCACAACTAAACTGCTAACTCAACGAAATTATTGACATGTATACGTAAAGAAATATTGTATCACAAGAACGGACATAGAGTTTATAAAAGCAAACGAAGTCGCGAGTAAATAGAGGCCTGATAGACTTGCAGGTTTGTATATGCTTGCTAAACTGATATATAGGATCTAATTCTATAAAAATTAATAAATACAAAACCTGCAAGAAACGTATCAGATCAATTTTTATGTAAAAGCACAGATAACATGTAAAAGTAATAAACATACAAATATTTACCTAAATAGGTACTTATATTGAACCTATTTTTTGGGTGAATATAATCACTGGTTGACCTACCTACTAGTTTAGGATTTACAAGGAACGATTTAATTAATCTACCAAATAGTAAAATTTTAAAGTATATTTCCCTAAATTTGGAATCTTTTACTTAAGGCAATTTATTATTAAGCATGCCAAATCTTCGGTCTTGTGAGCGTCCCTAGCTTTCAAACAATATATCTTAGTGAGTCAATAGGTATCTAACAAGATCTGAAAACAAACGTGTTTTTTTAAATATAGTTATGATGTGTCATTATTATGAATGATCACATTGGACAAAACTTTGCAGGTCAATCCCCATAATTTCAAATGATACGAAGCTCCCCTGAAATCGTGCCATGCCTACATTATTGATTAGGTTAAGTTAGGATGTAGTTACATATGACTTTATTCTAACATATGATAATAACAAATACACCTATAAATTCCTCATGATTATTCACAAAAAGTTATGAAATAAAGTCGCTGCCAATTGCGAGTATTGCGACAATAGTAGATGGCTGTGGATAGTGTGTTGATCCAATCAAACTAATCCATAGTCTAGTTAGAAACATTCAAAATGTTCCTAGCTAGGCTATGGCCTCGACGCTACTTCTTATTGTTACACGTTTGGTGTTACTTATAGTTGTATTATTAATAGAAGCTTACCTTCCACATATACCTCGGTCCATCCAGTAATTTTATGATCCTGTGCAGTCGCTGTAATCCTCCAACGACCCTCGTCTGTAGCCACAACATTACGTACTCTCAAACCACAACCGTCAGACCATCTCTCGTACCTTAAAATAAAAACACGTATAAAATAATAGGTGATCTTTTGATCACCTATTGGAAAATAGGATTTGAATAGGTTACTTTTATATTTTATATAGATATAGATCGCGATTTTGACAAAACAATGATACAAAGGCCGATGTGGATTGTCACTGTTGTTTTAGTGATGTATTGATTGATTAATTATATTGTATAATTGACCAATTAACCAATGTGATATGTGATATAGTGGACACCTAAAACTGTTTTAGGTTGCGCACTACTCAAAATTCTTACGCTTACATTCAGTATTAAAATATAAACAAAGGAAATTTGATAAACCAAGTTGTTTGTTTGTCTGATAAATTGATTTTTGCTTAAATCCCTTTGAATATACCTACCCAGAAAAGGCTGACTTACCTACATACTCGTACCTACCTACATGACTCAACAGTATGGCTTTAGCAACCTATTTTTGCTTTCAAGAGTTATGCAAAAAAGAAATACATATTATGTATATTATAACTAGGTGGAGGACGTCGATATTCGCAACACAGTTTTATACTTCTGTGAATATCATCGTTTCTCCAGTAAATTAGTAGGTACACATGTTTTCTGTATTAAATAAATAAAAAATTAAAAAAAAAATATTGCTTGACCTATAGTTTCAAATTGAAGATCAAATAGTACGTAAAGAAATCCAATAAATAGCCTATCCTAACAAAATGTTCAAATCTTATTTGTACACCTACGAAGTGTAACTAATTAAACATATAATTCTAAAGTTCGTATCCGCAAGGCGTGTGTTTATTAGGTCAAAACTGCAAAGCTTCCATAATTTCCTTGTTGGCGTCGAGAAGGCGAGACTAAACTATTTTGTAAGCGCCAATGCAACCCTAATTTCGTCCCAATTTTCATGAACACACACTTTTTATTTTTTTTTAATTTTCTCTTTGTCTATGTACTTATTGTAAGATGCCTACTGTTCGAGCGCTGATTGAACATCCAAATTGTACATCCAAACATGATTATTACAAATTATCATATTGATAATATCGATAGTACCTAATACATAATTGTTGACATTGCTAGGTCAAATAAAATTCTTTTTCTACAAACAAAAATAGAGATAGAGACAGCAAGTAAGGTATATATCGCAATTTATAAGAAAAAAAGCTCTTCACTGAAAAGAAACCACGAATTGCTTCTTAAATGAACTTTCTTTCATACTAACCCTTTTTAAAAATAGTATCTACAATATTATATTATATTTCATTGTTCAAAATCTTGGAGAGCATCCTTGAATTGTAATTCTAAATGTAAACTAACTCTTTAAAACTTTTAATTAGGATCACTGACACTGCTATAGTTGCTATCAATGAGCAAATAACCACTAGGTACATGTTTGGATATTTAGGTATTTCAATTTATGAACACTATCATTTTCATATTGTTTAATAAAAAAATAAGCTTACCTGCTATTAGGCAGCTGTAGCACATTAATTGTTTCGCCAGCTGGAGTTTTTATTTCACACGACTGTTGGTTCTGCAGTGTTTTGCTTAGTTTGATGAGAGCTTCGTGTCCTTCAACGACTCTTAAAGTATGTGGCCATCCCATGCCCTGTTGCATGTCTAGCAAACTAGCCACTTGAACGTATTCACTTATTGTATTTTGAAAACATCCTGCCATTATAATACAAATTTGAAAATAATTTACAACACTGGTTTTCTATTATTAATTATCAACTCAACTCTATTTGTATATAGGTAGGTATACCTGTGTATGTATATGGTATGCGATACCTATATTCGCTGACTTTAACTGTTTTTTTTTTCATCGAAATAATCATCGTCCGGTATTAATGCTACATATAACGAGTATATACGTATGTACTGATTTTAATGTACACTGAACCTTCTTTAAAATTCATATTATTTTACTTTGGGTCTATATCAAGCCAAAATTCTCAGAGTAATCATTTTATCAATAGGGTATCAATAGGGAATATACCTGCATTTTTTTTTATACTACTATGGTAGCAAACAAGCATACGGCCCATTTGATGGTAAATGGTTACCGTACCCTATGGACGCCTGAAACACCAGGGGTGTTACGTGCGCGTTGCCGACCCTTAAGAAAATTCAGTGTCAAAGCTTTGCAATAATTACTTACGATTGTTGATTTTACAAAATAGAGAAAATTCTTAGCTATTTTGTAAAATTAACAATCATGAACTTAAACATTACTAAAACTCTACTTCAAAAGAACTAATTTTATTATTACTTAATTTATTAAAATGTAAAGTATTTTTAATGTAACAGGTTTTCACATTATAATTATAAAATACGTACTAATAATACAATAACATTTAAACACTAACCGAATATAAACAATATAAAATACATCTTCTGCGCTATAATAAATGCTAACAGTTTCACAAAAGAAAAAACACACACTGATCATAATTATATATCTATTTAAAAAATATATAATAGATAAAATCGCTGTTGATCTTGATACAAAACAATAATTTATCTCAGATAATTTACTAGGACATTGGTGAGCAAAGTACGGGCCGCGGGCCAACTGCGGCCCGCAATTGCAAATTATATTATAATTATATATATATATCTTATAATTTTATTATAACGACATATATATACATAATGTATATAGCTAAACCTATTTTTGCAAATAGTGTTCAAATTAAGTATTGACAAACGGTACAGCTTATCTTATGACCGACACCTCCTTTAAAGATTTCCATTCTATCCTACCTTTTGCTATGCGAGTCCATACTTCACCGGCTATTTTCCTAATGTCATCGTCCCATCTTCCATTCTGTGTAATTCTATTTCATTTGCCTCTTCGGTAAAAATTGGTAACAGTATCTACGTTATTATCTATTCTTGTCAATTTCTCTTCATGTCCATATCCACTTTAGTTGTTTGTAATTATACATTACGTACCTAAAATTTGATTTATTTTCTATTGTTTTTAGTTTTACATAGAGTTGTCACCCGTCCGGGTTTCCCCAGATTTGTCTTAGTTTAGAGGACATCCGGGGAGCGACTGGGGTAATGTAATTTTTTAAAGTTTAATATTAACGTATATTAATAATTTGTGTTTTATTTTAAGGACAAACAAAGAGATCTGATTATTAAAACAATTTGTAACAAACTGTAATAAGATTCTTAGGTACATTAAAACGATAATAAAAAATTACTACATTTAATTTTTAGGTCTGAAAATAAATAAAAAGGTGATTTATGACATTTTATTGATTTTTTTTACACTGTCTATGTTCGAAAAAACCTGTTAACATGTCCAGGTTCTAGACTCTAAAATCCGGGGTTTTCACGCGTCTTGTCCTGGTTAACAAATTTTATAGATGCCAACCCTAGTTTTACACGATCTTTTCTTTTTACCGCTTTAATTCTTATCTCCTTAGCATTAAAAAATACATATCAAGCTCCAGTCAATGAACATATGCTTATTTGAAGTAAAGTAGTATCAGTACAGTATCTACCTCGCCTGCAGTAACCTGGATCCAAACATTCATTTATACTTTTCCATGCCTTCTCGCGGTATACATTTCAAATTACTTATAAAAAGCTCTTCTATTATTGTTTGTAGTCCATGGCAAAAAATACACAAGGAATACTGCTTGATACAAGTTTCATTGGATTTAGATATTTTTTATGGAAAATTTGCATTTATAAAACATTAAATACACAACTTTAAAAAAATTTTTTTACCCAAAGACATTTAATACTTTATGTGATTTCTACCTGTTTTTCTATATGTCTTATATTTTTATCACGCCAAGTTTTTTTAATATACCCTCATTAAGTTATTTCGCTAACTTGTTACTGGTGCTGAGTTAATATTCCCTTTTGTTGTATTAATCTTAAAAATAAACATTGTTTGTTTTTAAAATGGCCTCAAGGAAGAGGAAATTAAATCCAGATAAGATTTGCTATGTTTGTGATCGAATTATCCCATCAAAAAACAGGACATATATTACTGAAGCCGTAAAACGAGCCTATTTCCATCTCAGTGACAAATCTTGATAAAAATTGGATTCCTCGAGTGGTATGTGAAAATTGTAGAAGTATATTATTGAATTGGTCTGCAGGAAAAAAATAATTGCAGTTTGGCGTCCTAATGTTATGGAGAGAACCAACAAATCACGCTACTGTTACTTTTGCCTTACCAAAACTTCTGGTTTTAACAACAACAACAAGAAGTATATACAATACCCTGAAATTCCATCAGTCACAAAACCTGTATTGCTTTCTGAAAGAGTGCCTTACCCATCATTGGCCAGTACTTCAAGTAAGAAATATAAACCAAAGATCATGGAGACTGAAATGGCTGTGTCTATATTAAGTCACAATTCAGATGATATTCCCGAATTTGAATCTGAAGATAGTGAACCACATTTAATTTCAGAGTGAATTGAATGATCTTATAAGAGACTAGCAGCTTTCAATAAGTAGATTTGAATTGCTTGCTTCCTTACTGCAGCAGTGCAATTTATCGTGATTGCTAATTTCTTGGGCAACCATAAATCAGAAATTATTAATAAATTCCTTCCAATTTGAAGAGTTACCATAAGATGGGATTAAATATGTCATTAAAAATTCATTTTTTACATTCGCATCTGGACTTTTTTCCTGAGAACCTGGAAAGCGTAAGCTATGAACATGGTGAACGTTTTCATAGAGATTTAAAGATTTATGAAGGGAGGTACCATGGTTTTTAGGATAAAAATATGCTTGCTGATTACTGCTGGTTTATATTAAGAGAAACTGACACTATTTTATATAAAAGAAGAAATAATCTGTATCATGTTTATTTTTTTGTAGGAACATAGAAAATTATAAAAACAAATATAGTAAATATTTAACAAACTTGAAGTCCTAATTTTCTTTCCACTTCAGTATCTATCATTGGGTTTATTACTCTACCGATCCACATTAGTTTCATCTATGAGTAAAAAACCATGTAACGTAGTGATATTAAATATAGTACATGTCTTGCTGTTTCTATGTTCACTTCCAAACTTCGCAACGATTTTAATACGGTACTTATTCACTAACATTTATATATTTTTACGGAAAGCTTATACAAACAATTTAAAATCATTTTCACATTATATTATACATTCTCAGTATAATGCATTTATACATATTTTAATATATTAAAACTTACAGGATTACAATTATTAAAACTCATCCGGTGGTTCCAATGAAAATCGACGCTATTACAGCTTTGCTATGCTATATCACAAATAATATTATAGCATATAGCTATAACTATAGTATGTATGCGGAGTGGTATTTACGTTACCATAGTTCATTTGTTTTATTTTACTAAGATTTAAGATTTTAGAAAATAGTAAATAGTTTACCTTAAAAAATAATTATGAACAGATGTCTTTCATTCTTTAATATTATATAAATAATTATATATTTAGAGCATTAAAACCGGCCATTAATTATAGTATATGTTTCATAATCTTATATAGATATCTGTAAAATAAATGGTTGCAGGTAATAATTTAAAACCAATCATTTTAATTTAAAAATATGCAGTTTACTCATTATTATTACTTATTTATACAAAATAATTCATAACTATAGAGATCAGTAAATCTTATATTACATGCATTAGAAATTGACTATCAACTTCTCTGTATTTTTTTGTGTTACTGGTAGGAATGGAATAACGTCATCTGCTTCTTTCATTTGGGCCGTAGGTATCTGAAAATATAAATAATAAGACATAATTATATGTGTCTAATGGCAAACTTAGAACTAATAGTATAGTACAGAGCAGTAACAGTTCCACTAAATTATCGTATCCCTAATAAATATAGGTACATTGTATTCTCGTTAAATTTTCGATTTTTATCAATTTATAAAAAGTTTAATTTTCAAGATCTTGCTTATTTAGATTATAATATGTAGAGCAAATCAAATAGTAACAATAAGCCAGTACAACACACACCGCGCCATCTAGACCCAAGCTCAGCAGAGCAAGTCTTGTGTGTACTAGACAAGTGATAGGAATACTTAAATAGGTTTATATTATATATAGGCAACACCCAGAGTAATACAATCATACTCTTGAATACAAATGTTTGTATTGTGCGAGGAACCTGTGACCATCGGATATAATATGATGTGCTAAACCGCTGGACTACAAACTTGGTAACAAGCGCCTTAACCATATATTATATTTAATAGAACTTAGAAAATTATACTAACATTCAAATCCTTTGCCAATGATTCTTTTACTGTATATTCTCTCAATACATAGTCAGAGTTGAGCATATGAAACATCCTAGTTTCATTTGAACGCACCATTACATCATCAACTCTCAAAAAATATCTAAGAAGTATATACCAGCATGAGGGCATAACTCTCTGCAAAATAAAATATCGAATTGAGATAAAGTGTAATCAATCTTTAAAATTTATATCTATTCTATATCTATAAATTTTATAAATTTTAATGCCTTATTAATTATATTAAAATATAATTAATTAGTCATTATGAATAATAAGAGATAATACTAAATCATACATATATCAAAATCAGAAAAAATGTGTGTGTATGTTTACATAAGTATGTATGGGCATACTATATTAAAAATACATGAGATAGGTTAACATATCAAACCAACTCTAAAATAGAACACAGAACCAATATTTATACATTTTATTTGTTATTCTTCTTTTCCCCAAATATCTTAATTATTATTAGAATATTAATCACTAAGTCAAAGCAATGGAAAATAAAAAAAACATAAATTAATTTTCTCTTGCATTTTGTATCAAATACCTTTATAGGTATCTACCTCAATAGCAGACACTTGATTATTAGTAAGAGTACAGGTAGTACATTATCTATACAAGGCAGTGTATTTGGGAAAATGTATTTAGACTGCAGTTGGTTTTAGTTGAAACCACTGCAGTCTAGTCTGCTAGTCTACTGCCAATTAAATTTATAGAATATTTCTGTTCTTGTGCATGCTAATGTTGGAAATGACTGCACTGATATAAATGTGAATTTCATTGATATATTGTAGCAAGCTTCCCATAATGCTCAGTGTTGTTGTTTATTACATTTCAATCTATTTACTAACAAATTATGAACTATTGATATTCTGAATGCCACTCATACAAAGCGACAAGCACAGCGAATATAGTACATCACTTACTATCTTGACACTAAGCTTGGACACTCCATGATCATGTAATTCATCTTCAAACAGAGTAAGATCATGATAAAAGAGAATTTGCTCCTTTTGTTTTAACACATCATAGTTTATAGTTTCATCTGTAGCTTCAATAACAATATTATCTGTGCATGTTCCTTTATAATCTGTTGAGAATGTCCAATCAAATGTTCGTTTTTTCTTTTCAGCATCTGGTCTTGAAATATAATTATGTATTAATATACATGTATTAGTATAGATTAGTGGTTTAAAGTAAGACTATTAAATATCCCTTAATGTGGGTGCACTAAAATAAATAATTAAAAATAAATTATATTAGGCATGCAATCAAGTTACAATTAAAAATCACACAAAATCTTATTGCTCACATTTTCCATATTATGTGTAACAACCAAATAGAACAAATACTTGCTGTAAAATGGTCTGTTTACTGTTTATATTACATACCTAGATTCCTGCCAAGCCTCAGCACAAGCAACTTCAATAGCTTTCACAGTATTTGCCACACGCCTCAGTGCATCCAATGGGTTAAAATTTATAATGGCCCCACTTTTATGTGTCAAAGTCAGGATGTTCTTAGGGAATACCATATCCGGAAAATGAGGTATAGTCAGCTCTTTGCAGTATCTGGAATCAGTGAACCATAATAGTTTCATAAGTATTTAATATAGATACAGGTCTTAGTTTAACAAAAGTTATAATTATAAATTTAATATTTATTTTTACTTTTTTATGCATTCCAGACACTATAAAATGTACAATTACTGCAGGTTTAATTTATAGAAAGCAAAATTAAAACTAAGTGTAGTAGTTGTACTTTTGCTCGAATTATTTTTAATACAGGAAAAATGTAGGGCGGGCGAATACTAGGCAGTAGCCTATATAGTACAGATTTCTATATGTTTTCGAAATTTAAAAAGCTATTGTATCAACACAGGAAAACAGCCAAAAGCACTTACATACAAAACTGGCAAAATTGATCGTCATTCCGCTCGCATACAACTTTGGTTGAACACACACTGGGTAAAATGCAACTTATATTATACGATATATGCCATGGTCCAAAATTAATAGAATTGGAATTTGTTTCAAATCTTCTTGAATCAACAGTGTCCTGTAAAAAAATATCTATTCATATACATACCATAATATGACATTAAATAAATATACCTATAGAAATATAATGCACCTCAATTTGAATCATTTTTCTTGTCAGATGCAGAATTAAATTATTATGTTTAGTGCTTTTTGATAGTACTTAGCAGAATTTTCATTAATTACAAAATAAAATTTGTGTTTACTTGCTCAGTGATAAAAATTCTGAATATATATATGAGAATGACAAAATTCATTTTCTGACTGACGTACAGCTGTATCAACATCATTCTGTAATCCTTACTTATGATTCCTCATGCCATAGAGTCAGTCAGTTTACGTAGTATGTTCAAATGGTAAAGTCGAGCGAATATATATTATAAAACAATTCACTCTGTATGAGAGAAAAATATTTTATAATTGTCAGCACTAGACTAGATGGAAGAATGACCCATTTAAAAATATTATTTCGTGGGTTCTATTATTTTTTTCACCTATGTATTAAATTTCCTACTTTCGTGAACTAATGAACTTCAAAAACACTACTATTCTGAAGTTATTTTGTGCTGTGTACTTAATTTATTGCAGCGGAAGACAACGGAATCATGCGAATAGAGGAACGCCCGTCGGTGCTTTGAAAAAAGTTCCAGAGTGTAGGAGAGTACTGAAATACCTCCCACGTACCAACAGGTTTCCTCTCGTGAGGCCGTTCGGACATATTCTGATACCACACCAACGAGAAACAGCGGCATCAGGCAGGGTATCGTGTAGAGGATGGTGGCGAAAGGGCATAAGCCAACGGCGGAATCCTAAGCGTCAGTCAGCAAGAAAGGTTACTGTCTTGGCGGCGTCATAAGGCAATCGGCCATAAAACTAAAGCTACTATAATTTCCCCTAAGGAAGCGTGGAAGACCTCGACTTACATGGGGAGCCGCCATGAAAAAGACCTAATATATAAAAATTTAATAGTCTTTGGAGACGGATGATTAGGATAGCCGACCCCAATTAAGATTGGATAAGGCCGGAAAAGAGAGAGAGGTTTTTGTATTTATTCTTGTAAATAAATATCATATCAATATACTTAGTGTATTTATTTACGAAGTGAAAAATATTTAGTGTATAAATTGACGGCGTAGTTAATAAATAGTAAACATTAAGTAGTATCTTGTATAATTTCTGTTTTATTATTCCTTTCTTCCTTATACAAAGACTATCATCATCTAAAAAACTTATTATCACATCACACAATCAATAGCTACACCCCGATGACAGTAATAGACACAGATAATGTCGGTAATTTTTTTATAGTATGAACTGCAACGAATAAATACAATCCTTATCTATGGTCAAAATAAATAAAATCAATATGGCCGACTTACACCGGTTGGTTGGCCTGTTTTGATTTTTTCTTAAAATTGGCAGTGTTACTCTTTTATTACCACATTGTAAAACGAAACTTAAAGTTGTTATAATTATTTCTGGAACAATTAAATATGGAAGCGCTTATTCCAGTTATTAATAAATTACAAGACGTTTTTAACACAGTCGGAGCTGATGCGATTCAATTACCTCAAATAATAGTTTTAGGAACACAGGTAAATCCATTGCTATTTTTTAATTATATGTCACGATTAAAATTGTAGTGGCTGGAATTATTATAACATAAATCATGAAATGAATAATATTTAATCCACGGTTATGTAAATGTCACTAGAGTTCTTTGTCCTCATTCGCTTAAATTAGAGCAACGATTCCTGTCAATGACCATGTCCCTGGCATTAGAAAAATCTAAAGATGTCATTTACTTTAAATGTGTAATTATTCTACTCAATATACCTTTAACATATCTCTAATATAGATAATATGCTATCTATAGTATTGTAGTCTACTTTAGCATCTACATTAATTAATCAAAATTTATTGAAAAACTAATACAAAAAATAAAAATAAATTCAATTATTCATTATAGTAATAATAAAAAGTGCATTACTAAATATTGCAATATACTGAGATCCCTACAAAGCTGATGAATGGCAAAGTACACAAGCATACATTATCCACTTTATTATAAATATGTAAATTTGCGTTATTCATTCCCTTTATTCTTTATTACCTATTTACTCATTTATTTGGTGTTGTTGTTTGTTTTAATAGCTAATGTGTTGATAATGAGATATTGTTATTATAAATATTTTTAGTACAATTTTTATTTTTGGAAACTGTAGTAAATTTCTTTTTATTATTGCTTTATTGATATAAATAAATTGGGAAATATGAAAGTAGCAGTTTTTATATTGACTGTCTCATGTATTTTTATGTAAAGCATGAATTATATAATTATCACATGGAAATTTGAACTAGCTAAGATAAAGTAGAGTATCATAAGTAGTCATGTTTACTAAATACTCCAGACACGTAGTGGCATGGTCGGCCGGGCCATTGGACTACTTAAAATATTGTATGCAGTTATGGCAGTCTGATCCGTCAGACTTGTGAATAAGTGCTGCTTGTAGGGACTGGTCTGCTATAATCATTACAACTGATTTACTCTTATTTACAACAATTATTTAATAGAGCAACCATGAAGGTTCTTCCCCATTATTTTGATGAGGTAGCTTTGCAAATAAGTGGTAAAATAAAAAAATAAGTAAGTCTATTCAAAAGTGCTTAAATATAAGTTTATTTCAATAAAGAATTTTCTATTCTATTTCTTCAATAGATAATAATTATATATATTGATGTGTGATGAAATACTAATTTTGTTTCTTTGTAATAGAGCTCTGGCAAGAGCTCTGTGATTGAGAGCCTTGTGGGCCGCTCATTCCTGCCTCGAGGCCCAGGCATCGTCACCCGGAGACCACTTGTCTTGCAGTTGGTATACAGCCCAAAAGACAGCAAAGAGCATCGTTCTGCAGAAGAAGGTTTGTGTACATAAACATATTTAACACCACCATTCTATAAAAATTCTTTTCTATTATTATTATTGCATGTTTATAGCTATTGTGGTTGATATATTTTATCAACTATATAATGTGTGTCTGGCAAGAACAAAAGTGTTCTCAATCTCAATTAGCCCATGATAGATTTTAAGTATGTTTAGGCTTCTGTGGGTCTCAATTTTCACAATAATAAAATTGCATCTGCCATATACTTCTTATTGTACTGGCCATTTAGCAGTGAATTTTTCATATATTAATATGAAATCACACCTTGCATCCTTTTGTTTCCAGTTGCATTCATTAGTTGATTTATATAACATTATTATGTACATAATATTCACTACTACTTACCGGTTACTGGTATGTGCATAACACACTAAACTGAATAAAGCATCTAGAATCACAGTACCCAATGCATTAGGTGTTCCTTCTTGCTTGTACACTTTTCCTATGTGTAAAAAAATTCAAAGACAATTTTTGCAGAGTCATTCTATATCTAATCATATCATTGAATAATTGTTAATTGCTTGTTTAATAACTTCAAATGATTGTGAGACATATTATAATGAAAATAACTTATGTTCACTTACTTATATGTTACATTATTTTATTAATTAAATATTATCACTGTTAATGAAACTAAACTTGAAATATCTAGGCCTGCATGGCCTAGATATTTCAAGTACAAATTAGTTTAGTTTTAGATTATAAAATTTTAAGTCAATGTCAGTGAAATGAAGGCATTGTTCTCTATATCAATCAATGACTTTGATGTGAAATTAGATTTATATATTTTATTTACTTATATTTTGTTTATTATTACTCATGATTTATTTTATTCTAACATATAAGAAATATATATAAACTGATTATGTATACTACTACTGATACTATTGATATTATTGTAAAATTTCATTAGAATCGGTACTGATGTTAAGTTGTAAAAATATAAAAAACAAACAGACAGAAACACATTTATATTTGTGTCCATTGTACAAGATATCTTCAGTGGAATTGGACCTATTTTAATAATCTTTTATGCAATCTATATATTTATGTATACTGTTTCAAAAATTGCTAAAAATAATGACTCCATAATTTAATTAATTCACTACATACACCTGTTGATTATAAGCTATACAGTATATTTTAGTATAATGAAGTGAAATCAAAAGTTATTTATATCTATGCTAGTACTAAGAAAAGAGAATACTGAAGCAACATCATGGAATCCAATAACTCAGCTGTCTCATTCAATATTCAGCAGAGGTTTGTACTATTAGACAATGATTTATTGTGTTGTCCTACTTGTCCCATATTAATAAAATATCGTTACATGTAACATAGTACTAATGTCAGAATATAAAAATATTATCACTATAATAATGGACAGAATTATAATATTTATTTAATGAATGATAAGTGGTGCACTGGCCAGCGCTAACAGTGTACTACCTTAATGGGGTGTCAGTCGACGATGATAAGATGAGCATGATGTTAGACCAGTTAGCCCATCGTGATGTATTCACCATGAATTTATCATGATGGTTTCCAGGAGGAACCGTGTGTAGATCATCCTGACATGGTACATTGCTAGCAAGGAGGTCAACAGTCAACATTTCTAACAGCCCCCCCTTCATCTCAGTGGTAGTCATTGAAACTAGTGCCCCTATTGCTACCAATATCCTATATTAGGTCAAACTCCACTTGGTAGTGGTGGTCCCCCTCGGCAACCATCGGATTCAAGTCCTGGTGAATTTTCCTCTGTGGAGCCTGTGCATACCTTATAGGATCATTTTCATTTTATCATCTTACATTTTTGCCCCACTAGTGTAGGAAGGAATATGCCATGGAGAAACACCATTCCATCACTGTTCATTAAAAATATCCCCTGTTGATGGGGCAGTTTATAATTTTAATTGTAGATTGCTGTCAACATTATTATTCACGTGTATATTCTATTACTAGAAACTAGTAATAGAATAATACACGTGAATAATTTTCTACTATTTAGAACACTATAAATGCCAGGCGAGTATCAACGCCTGGCATGTATAGTGTTCTAAATAATAATTACAAGTACATGTCACCAGGCGCTTACTAACCAACTTCATCGTTATACACCACCATCATACTAGTGCATTAACAATAAAGGGTTTATAGACATATTGTATTGCTTCAGGTACAATAAACTTAGAAGAATGGGGCAAATTTCTTCATACAAAAGAAAAAGTATACACGGATTTCGACACTATACGACAAGAAATAGAACGCGAAACGGATCGTATGGCTGGTAACAATAAGGGTATCTGTCCAGAGCCTATTAGTCTCAAAATATTTTCAACAACAGTCGTCAACCTTACTTTAGTTGATTTACCCGGAATCACAAAGGTATGTTTTAGCAATAGTAAAATCTATATATCAATTAAATGATGTTATATCTATATATTTCGTATTTGTTAAAATGATAAAAAGGCACAGTGGAACCACAATATCATGTCGTTATTCATAATTCATTTTGATAAAAAAATTTCAGGTCCAAATATTACCAGAGGTTGATTTTGTATTGTACAAAACCTATTCAATTTACTTCAGCTGCAACGAGCCGTTTGCAACGTTTGAGAAATGATAGTGAATTTACAGGGAACAGCGTTATACACTTTACTCCTCAGGAAGAAAAACACAGAGATATCACTAACATCTATACCTACATATAAATAAAATTGGAGTGTCTATTTGTAATATTGAAATAACCGTTTTTTACTACATGTATATGAATATAAATACGGTACATACACTAAAATAACATTTTTTACAATTTTTGTTTGTCTGTCTGTCTGTTTGTTCCGGCTAATCTCTGAAATGGCTGGACCAATTTTGAAGGTACTTTTATTGGCAGGTAGCTGATGAAATAAGGAGTATCTTAGGCTACTTTTATCTTTAAAAAATTCTTTTACAGCTAGTCGGAAATATAGTTAGTGGTGTTCATAATGCTTTTCAAATTCGTTAGTTTATTTCCCTTTGCAGTTACAAAAACATATATGTACTCTTATACTAGATTGGTTGAACTGATATTTAACTCCTATTTCATTTGTCTGACAGATACCAATTGGTGATCAACCAGAAGATATTGAGAACCAAATTCGTAACCTCATCATTAAATACATTTCCAACCCAAATTCCATTATTCTGGCTGTGACTGCTGCTAACACCGATATGGCAACTAGTGAAGCCATTAAAATGGCTAAAGAAGTGGATCCTGATGGCAGAAGGACTCTGGCTGTGGTCACTAAACTTGACCTTATGGACGCAGGTATATTACTTTTACCATTTACATTTTAAAGTATATACGACAAGTATTTATTAATTGCTACACATTACATCAGACTATAGCGTTGTGTCAATGATTGTGTTTTGCTCAATTGTACTATTTATCTATGACAGAGGTGTCAAACTCGATTTTGCAGGGGGCATATATTAGATTTAGAACCAATAGGCGGGCTAGATTCAAATAAAAAAATATATACGGGCTTATTATAACATTTTATTTATTTCATTATATAGTATATAATATAGGATTGTTAAAAGTTATCCCTTATTGATACAGCCCGCGATCCGCATCTGACCCGCGGGCTACTTATATACTTGACAGGACTGATCTATGACGTTCTGATGACCATAACCTTCACTTATATTTGATATAAAATTTAGGAATATATAGCTAACATACATTGCTCGATAAAAAATATGATTATAAAAAAATAAGTCTGAAGTAAATCTGTTGTCACATAAAATGTACATTAATAGTAAGAAAGGGAGAATGGACTTTGACCGAAAATAAGCTCCGTAACCACTGCATTGACTTCAGAAAGTCTTTCGCTGTTGAATGATCCACAATTTAATATATATATTTGTAATAAATAGATATATTTATTTATTTCAGTTAATAAGTAAATGGTTTCAATTTACCATTTACAATTAAAATATTAAGATAGGAAATATTTTTTGTAATGTATAAACTCGACTAACACTTGACCTAATTTATTGATATACACGATTACACATTAATACACTACTTGTGCGAAAAGGAATAAAATTCTGTTCTAAAACTTTAACTACGCGCTTATCATATTCATTGATATTGTGAACATGGTGCAGACTTATTGATAACACCGTTTATTTATACAAAAATAAACAAACTTACGATAATATTTTTTTATTACTACAATATATTCTGTCGTAAAGACTATCCATAATTTCAGTTTATAAATGTAGAATTTTATGTAATCATAATTCTTACAAGTCCCCAGATGTCAAAATGTAATATCAACCCAAACTAGAATTTATCATTGATCGTGTTTAAGTAACTTGCACAAAAACTGTTAATAAAATTTTAGTGTTATTCATGAATGGCAGTGCTGTCCTAGACATTATTAAATCAGTTCATCCTTATTCAAAATAATGTTTTTGTTGGAGAATGAAAACTCTGTAATTTTTTTACGTTTCATTGTATTTAGGGGTTATGAACTGTGCAGACTTATTTCAGTCTGAAAAATACACCAGTATAATCAGTATTTTTACTCGTTTGCACAAACCTTTACTAACTGGAAATATAAGGACACTAGGTAGTTGTATATACTGGCAAATCTATATTACTATAATTCAGCTTTATTTCAGGAACGGATGCTATTGACATACTGTGTGGGCGAGTTATCCCAGTAAAACTCGGTATCATAGGAGTTGTAAACAGATCTCAACAAGACATTATAGACAAGAAAACTATTTTGGTAAATATTATCTTATTGCTATTTCATCACAACATATTTTTCAGTAAACATAATTATTCAACTTGACATTTATCACTATAACATTATTCATATCTATTAAAACTAATTTTGTCAGCTGTATTCTGATTTGATGGTAAGATATGGCACTGAAAATACAGGTCATGAATAGATGACATCTTAATATGGAGGAATGACAATGTTTTAGTGGTATGACTGCCATTTTCTGGCTGTTTTATCACTATTCTGGATCAGTGAGTTTAATGCTTCGGTCGCATAAAAAAATATCTTTAAATTTTACATTTGTGCTATTTTACTTTAATACGTATTTATAATTAATTGTAGACAATGTAGAGTTGTTTATAAACGTACTTGTATGAAGCAATGCCAATTTTAACTACATTGTATTTTAAACATACAGGATGCTCTAAAGGACGAAGCAACCTATCTTCAAAGGAAGTATCCAACTATAGCTACACGAAACGGTACTCCATACTTGGCTAAAACATTGAACAGGTTGCTCATGCATCATATAAGGGATTGCCTACCGGAATTAAAGGTATATATAAGAATGTTATATGCTAAGTAGTTTATTGAAAACGTTTTCTATTTATTTAATCAAATTGTCAATTGTAATTGACTATGCATATAATTATGTTACGTATGTATGTATAAAGTTCAAGGCTGTTTAACGAAAAGTAATTTATCGCTACAATCACTTTCGTTTGAACTACTATCTATAAATATATATATGGCTTACGATATTATTGCGCATTTGTAGCATTATGAAAAGGCGATTTGAAGAACGATAAGCAACTTAAAATTTATAAAATTTGTTCAATACAAAAGAAAGCTATTTAGTACCTATCTTCTCGATAGTATTTTCGATAAGACGGAAACATCAATAAAAATTTTGATTAAAAAAAATAGTAATCAAATTCGAGTAACAACTTCTAAAACTATATACATAACATTTAAAAATATGGATGCTTTGCTAATATTTTTTTTGACATGGTTGAAAAACAAGAAATGGCTTCTAAAACATCTCAGTTTGCGGATAAAAAGCAAGCATATTTTAACTTTTATATTTTAAATAAAAGTGTATGTATGGTGGAAAAAAAGTTGTTCTTAAACATTTAGTTAACTAATTTATAAGAATTATCTAACCTTCAGAAATATATAAGCTAGATAAAGTTTGATCATATTCGTTTTACAAATTATAAATAGTTTCTGACAATGTCTATTTAAATTCTCATTCTTGCGAAAATATTGCAGTTGTAAGTATATTATTTGGATGTTCATAAAAAAAATTAATAAGTGTGTTCATTATCAGTTATCACAATTTAAATTTTAATATAATTGGAATATTTCAAAAATCACGGAAAAGGAATGTACTACAAATAAATATAGGTTGAATTCAATACGTCATAAGTGTTCCAGTTTTTACGTCAAATGTTCGTGAGTGTTGCTTTTGCATCTATTAGGGACAGTAGCTAGAAATATGAGAGTGACCAGGTTAGCTGAGAAATTGTTTTCCAACTAGCATCGTCGTAAATAATGATATATTTGTACCGTATTAGAGTTTATATGGGAATTTGTTTAATATTGTATTAACGTTTCAAATATTTTGTATACTGTTGTTTTTATCAAAGAAGATTATTAACACAAAACCATATTGTCACTATTATCTATACATATAAATAAAATTGGAGTGTCTGTTTGTAATATTGAAATAACCGTTTTTTACTACATGCATATGAATATAAATACGGTACATACATACATATACGTAGACATAAGATAACAGTAACAATTTTTACAGTTTTGTCTGTCTATTCCGGCTAATCTCTGAAATGGCTGGACTATTATGACGGGACTTTTTTTTGCCAGGTAGCTAATGTAATGTAATGTCGTATAAGAATTAAAGAGCATGATGGAAGATCGCGGAAAGTGGCAAGAGCTCCACCGACAAGAGCGTAGCTCTTAAATTATGAATGAATGAATGAATGAATGAGCTGATGTAATAAGGAGTAACTTAGGCTACTTTTAGTTTAGAAAAATAAAGTTAAATTCCACGCGGACGAAGTCGCGGGTACAGCTAGTACAGTATATAACTCCACAAGTAGCGTAAGTCATCTCGTTTTTTGGTGAAGCCATTATTGTTTTATTCTTTCAGGTGCGAGTGAATGTAATGATATCCCAGTTCCAATCATTACTCAACTCATATGGGGATGACGTGTCGGACAAGTCACAAACTTTACTACAAATAATTACTAAGTTCGCTAGTGCGTACTGCTCTACAATAGAGGGTACTGCAAGGAATATAGAAACGACCGAATTGTGTGGAGGGGCGAGAATTTGTTATATATTTCATGAAACATTCGGTCGTACACTGGACTCAATTCACCCTCTCGTAGGTTAGTACTGTATGAGTATAAAATTATCATTATATAGATATATTGTAATGCTGTGTGATAATGATTACTTAATAAATTGACTTGAATATTCAAATTTATAATGTATACCAGTATACAGACACAATTTAATGTAATTGATACATATTACAAATACTACCTATGCCTTGGAGTACCAGTCAGCACTAGGCTGTAGTACTCACCAAATACACGTATTTTTTATAAATAAATAATTAATTCTGTTTTATAATTCTTTTTTTATTGTATTCATAGGCTTAACTCGGATGGATATACTAACGGCAATCCGCAATGCAACTGGCCCGCGTCCTGCCTTGTTTGTGCCAGAGGTCTCGTTTGAGTTGCTTGTGAAAAGGCAAATCAGAAGATTAGAAGATCCTTCTTTACGCTGCGTTGAACTGGTAAATCTCTAAATATTATGAAGTGTCAAATACAGTGTGTGTACTCTATCTTTGTCTGTTTTGCTTAATAGGACACTTCTAACACAAATCCCATCTAGTCGCAAACGAAGCAAAGGTTTTGTTATAGGTACTAGACAACTGATAGCAATACTTAAATACATTTTTTTTAAATACCAATACAAACAATCATACTCATAACATAATCATACCGTTTCACAACCATCGGAAGTAAGCCAGTCTATTAAAGCGCTAGACCATATGATATGATATAAATATACAATGCTTTTAAGGTCCATGAAGAGATGCAAAGGATAGTGCAGCACTGCGGTACTGAAGTACAGCAAGAGATGCTTCGGTTTCCGCGCCTGCACCAGCGCATCGTGGATGTTGTTACACAACTACTCCGCACCAGGCTGCCGGCTACCAACTCTATGGTATCTCTTGAATCACAGTATTTCCTCTTTACTTTTAGGCTTCATCTTCATCACACTTTGTCTTAACCTTTTTCGAAAGGTTTGTCAGAACCTTTGTCAGACGACAGACATTCACGTCTCTCGTCTGTCGCAGCGACCGAAAGTGAAGAGGGAGTATGCGCGTGCCAGCTGTATTTTTTCAAATGCGTTTCAATCTTTTTTTGTTTTAAATAAGGACTAACTTGGTTAAAAAGAAGTCACCGTTTTACGGGCACACATCTGTGACAAGACGGTAATGTGGTTTAACAGGGGCACACAGATCTGTGTCAAAACGTTCGAAGGGTTAAATCTTAAATAATTTCTGACATTTGTCAGTAAAATTATAAATTAATACAGATATTTTTGAATTAGGTTCCTATAACATACTATGAAATTATTTATATATCAATTTATGTATAAAAATTCTTTATTATTTATGTACAAAAATTCGATCGATTGACTTAAATCACTTATTTAGCAAATTTATTTATAAATTATTGTAGAAAGTTTCTACAATCATTTATAAATAAATAAATTTCTACTTGAAACTGTTTATATAAACATGAGAACGGTATTGTATATATAAAATTTAAGTCCCAATACGCTTAAATCATAATACTCTAGAAATTATTTCAATGTATGGAACTCTTAGACCTATTTACTCTTATAAAATAGTTTTTTATTTTAAACAAATTTTCGTTTACAGGTGGAGAACTTAGTGGCTGTTGAACTGGCGTATATCAACACCAAGCATCCTGACTTCCACCGCGAGGCAGCTCTCGTCACTGGTCTTCTGAAGAGCACTGATGGCCTGATTGAAGAGAGTAGCCCAATATTTAGACAGAAAACTCCGCGAGCCACACCCTCACCGGTATCCACATTATTCAAAGTACATATTTTATTGCTTACTTTTAGGCCATGCATGTGGGAGGGAACGGGTCTAATACAACACTAACGCGAGGTAAGTATTATAAATGTACTTTGTATTAATAAAACATACAAATTGTAAATATCCTTAACAATTTTTACTAAAATTATTTTCTTATTTGTGGATTTCTGAATATCTAATTATTTTATTAAATTACAATTTATTAATGGCGTCATGTACACAAACAATTATAAACCAACAAGCATTATAAAACTTAAAAATGTTCAATGTGCATATTGAATTATTCCTATACATATTTTTAAATAGTTTAATAATTGTATATATTTAGGTAACATACATATACAATATGTGTAATACTACTGTGATCTCATATATGTTGATAATATTTATTCTGGTTGAGGCTATGTAGATATATGATTCATATTTCTTAATTGCACAGAATTAAAATACTATTGTGACTATATCATATACATAATCTAGAATAATTAAATTTCTAGCCATGTTCCAATTTTTTTTCTAAGATTATGACAATGTCTATAGGGAACAGTGGCCGCCTTCTATAATGTAAGCATGTTTTATATCTTATCTGGTTATTATAATTATGTAGACATATTTATAAAAATATCTAAATATATTATTCATTTCTGTGCTTTGCATTAATAATTTATAACATTTTCATGGATAAATATTAGATATTATTAGCTTTATTCTCTTGTCTGCTTTATAAATAAATATATATATATATATATTATGTGTACTATATATGTATATGTGTGACTAATTATATAATTAATAAATAATGTTCATTTGGGTATAGTAGCATATATTATATGTTTTAAACAATTACCTAAATATATAATTGTTGAACTTGTTTATAGCTATTTCTACGACAAATGGGCGAAAGAGGGTCCACTCTAGTATTCTTGGCAAATGTATGGGACTCATACAATCAGGTAAAATAGAAATTGTTTTGAAAAGAGATGTACAGTGCAGTTACATCGAACCTAACTCGTAACTCGGTTTTTACGACTACATTATCATTCTTCATATTAGCTTAAAACACTTAGTTTAGTATGTGGGCTCTCTTTCAGTCTATTGCTATTTTTTATAGAACTCATTGTTATTACATTGCATGCATTGAATCATTGATTGCTTGTGCATGCATAGAAATTGATGCTTATTAGTGGAGATTTTTTATGAGACATTTATTTTATTGCAGTACCCAAAACATTAAGTTAGTTATTTTTACAAAACTTATACTTGAACAGTATTTCCTTATAGAGTAAATCACTTATTCATATTTGATAGAATATTTTTGCACATTTGACAAGAAATAGTGTTATTTGTTTGTGAATATTGGTTTTATACATATACTTCCTTTCAGCGGTATGGCTAATTTTTGCTTATATTTTTATTTTATAGTTGAAGTATTGGTAGTTTAATTTCGCCATAACTTAAAAACAGATTATCCATAATAGTCACAATAATAAAGATTATTATTACATATTCTGTGAGTTCGAATTGATAAATTTGTAACTTACTTTACTTATATTTTAACTGGATTGAGTATTGAAAAGCATTTACTGAATTAAAAAGCATTTATAGAAATTAAGTCTCTGTCGATTTGAGACTACAAAAATTAAATACATGAATGCCCATGGAATATATATATAATGGTTATTTTTTAGCATGTTCCTGCGATCACAGATGGGCACGAAAACAAGTCTCCCAATAACAGTGACTCTCCAGCCACTCCACAGGTGAAAGTGATTTAATATTAAAAGCATGTATATTTTTGTTTACAAAGCTATTTATTTTTCACATATTTAATGAAAACTAATGTGAATCCGTTTTTCAATAAATGAATAAACTTAATAAATTCACATATATTTCTTAAAAACTACATAAAATTACTTAGATAACAAATGTTATGCGATTAGTAATTCCTGCATCTGATTTTCAATATATTTAACATACTATATTAATTATAAACTATACCAATATTAATTTAAAAAACCTGATCTAAAAGAGCAGTCGTTTTATTTTATTATTGATTTTTGCAATTGAAAATACCAGTTGAATTGGATTGGTTAGGCTTAAAAAATTGTATTAAAAACTGACATGTGTAAGTTTTTATAACATCCTATTTGACCTTCCATTTACGATGTTAAAAGTACACATAAACTACTACTACATTAATAGTACTAATAACACTAAATATAAAATTAACAACAGTAAATATGATGCTTACTAATAAATCTTCTTACACCAAAATATTCATACTCCCACACCTTTTCAAATCATACATCCTCATTACAAGTCAAATCTAGTGCCGCTAGCATATACCTTTAGCGTAGGCGGGTGCACCATTCCATATTCCATTGTCCGCATAAATCGAAGGATACATCCATTTAAACCATGTCATGTCTGTAATGTAACTGGGTTTATCTGAATTCACATATAATCGATCCGTACTTTATTGTTTCAAACAATTTTTATGTTTACTTATTATATTCCTATGACTGATAATGATGATGTTAAAAAAATGTCGCATAATAGCTAATTTATTTAACCAATAAAAAAATTTCAGTTTATAATATTTTTTTTAATTCTACTATAATGTGTAATGGTATCCTGTATATTCCCTAAGTCATAGTCCCTACTGACGAATTGTCATTCGTAGAAGTATATACATTAGTGTAGGTAAGGTAAAGTCAAAAACCGAAATATAACCAGAGTTAATTCGTACCTTCTTAAGTCGTTCCGTTTCCCACTGTCGTGTAACGTACGTATGTATAGATATACCTATATGTGGCGGTGTACTGTTTTTTCAGTGAAAATACAAATCACTTGAGTGCTACTTTTACAGCGTATATCCTCTGCCTCCGAATGTGAACAAAAGCTACACAGTATATTTTGTGCGTTCTTTATTATTATACATATATTTATTGCACTTTATTTCTAACAGATGAACGGTACCCCAGAGAGTAAGGTGCTGACTCCTCAAAAGCCTGTGAACCTGCTACCGGAGGTGCCGAGCCACACGTCGCGCAAACTTTCCGATCGAGAACAGCATGACTGTGATGTTATTGGTAAGTATAGCATTCCATTAATTATAAAAACAATTCGTAAGATAATAACTTTTTAAAACTTCAAAAAACCATACTCTATTTCTGTATGTGGTGTGCAAATGTTTAATAACAACAATACATAATGCCTTAACAATTCTTCGATTTATATACACAAATACACCCATTTGACTGTCAGGTTTTGAAGGAATTAAATCGGCATTGTTATTAAAATACTTATTAAATAGGATATTAAAAATAAGTTATTTGATATACTGTGTAAAAAGTAATCATCTAATATTGTCAGATAAAAAAATGGTGTTTTTTTTAAGAATATTGGTTATACCATGGTATAGTTGAATACTTGGTTTTCTGTTGCGATGCTAGGTGGACGGAGCGAGAACACGACACAACAAAACGCTTACTCAAAAATAGTTGATGACATTACAATGATGCATTTGAACGAAATGGGTGATCTTGTTGGTGAGGATACGATACATGTCGACATGTAATGCTTCACTCATCTGCTTACTATCGTTAGGTTTCCGACCACCTATCATCAAAAACTATTACGCTTATTGCAATGGCTTCTATCACGCAATGAGTGGCAATGAAAGATATAGTTTCAATGGTGAAACGTTTATTTTAAATTCTCACTAACATGCCCGACACAGATATGAAACAAACAAATTTATTTCTGTTTTAACTCTGATGAGTATGAAAAAGACGCTAGAATCGCTGTCTCGTTCTATTTTATACTTGCAATACCGAAAACGTATGTAAGGTATTTTCGTTAAACACATCTAGGGGCTATTTATAACGAACTAATTATGATAAACAGAATTTAAAGAGGTCGTTGCATTTTTTTATATATTGCAGTTAGTGCGATTCTGTTTGTTTTATTAAATTTTATTTTGCATAAATATAGCACAGCATGGATGTGATAATCACTCACTTTCATTTTCTTCTTCGTTGGCACAATTCAATAATTGCACTATACATTGTCTCTATATATATACCAGTATCATGTGTCTAATTGTAACTAAATTAATTGTGTTTAAGTTAATTGTAATAAAATACATCATTTGCTTCTTGAACTTTAACAATTTGTGTATTATTTTGTAAGCAGAAAGAAAAAGATTATAGATTGAATATGTTCAATGGAAAAATAATAATATACACAAACTTTCCATAAAAATGTTTACAAAATAATGAATATGGGATTCATTATTTTGTAAAAATTTATTAAAAATTTAACATTTTGATTAAAATTTTGTGTGTGTTGGGTTGAAACAGACGGAAAGAGACACCTATTTTGTAGTTGTGTACTTTTTATAGCTGGAGTCCTTCATGATAAAACCGTTTTAAAATGTAGCTTAATTTATAACAAATCACACAACACGCTTATACAGCGTATATTTTAATTTTAATAATAAATACCTCCACATACCATAATATTAGCATCAAGCATTTTTTTAAATAAATAAGAGAGTTGCGGTTATTAAGTGGTTTATAATGTTTTTATAATATGTTTGTGTATCGTAAATAAATAGATTTTTATGTAATTAGCTTACACACAAATTGTAACTAACAGAAAAACATTTATTATTATATGTTTCAGAGCGACTGATCAAATCGTACTTCTATATCGTGCGCAAGTCAATCCAAGATTCAGTACCCAAGGCAGTAATGCACTTTTTGGTGAATTACGTAAAGGATAATCTCCAGTCTGAACTTGTAACACACCTGTACAAGTCGGATCAGGCTGAGAGTTTGCTCAACGAGTCCGAACATATTGCACAGAGGAGGAAGGAAGCCGCTGACATGCTCAAGGTATGTTCCTATACTCTTTAATTTGGTTTAATTTCACTAATACTCTTCTTTGCACTATCCCAACCCTATACTTTGCATATAAATAACGAGCCAGCTTTCCTAATTTTGCGACGACAGGACAATCTGCCCTGGGAAGTCGGGTCGACCAATTTTTTCCCCCCGAAGAGATTTTTCATGCACGTCTACCAGGTAGGTTGATGGCCCAAATTAGGGGAAATTTTGTATCTGAATTTTAATTTATTTTGGCCAAAATTTTTGGCAAACGCCATATAATGTAATTTGAAAAAATTCTCATAAGTTAATGTAGTGCTTGTGAAAGTTAATATAGTAAGCTTAAACTTTAAGTTCTCAGGAATGGACATCTTTCGGGACTGGAAAGTTAGAGTATATTTTCTAAAGGAATTTCTCGATATAGTAACAATTGCTCCAATATAAATATATTTTGATAGTATTTTTAATAAAATACCTTCCACCAGACATGCGCGGGTTATATTCTATTACGGTTGAGGAAAACCACAGCTGATTACAGTCTTCGATTTTACTGTAAACAGGAAATGCCTTTTCCTGAATTATGCTGTAATTTAATAATGTATAGAATAATTATGTAATAAATAGAATAAAGTATATAATATACTAGCAGACCTAAAGTTCTTTAATAAAATAATATTGCGACTATAAATTGAGATGTAAGCTATCCTATCTTTCAAGTTGGATCAAATTGCACACAATGTGCAATCGGTTCAGTAGTTTAGGAGTCCATCGCGGACAAACAACGTGACACGTATTTTTATATTCATATAAAGGTATAGAAATATTTACTTATTCTTTACCTCAGCTTCGCTCAATTTGTCTTAGTTTCTCTTCTATCTCAGTATTTTCAAACATACAAATAAATATATGAGTAATTCGTCACGTCAAATATTACAATAAAGTACGATTACTATATTTATTTATTTTAACATTTATCACAATTTTATGATATAATGTATGTTTTGAAAAAAAAGCAAGTCTTCATAAAAAAAATATTTTCAGTAATATAACAGTGGTGTGTTTTGTTTCAGGCTCTGCAACGTGCCGGACAAATTATTAGTGAGATCCGAGAGACACATATGTGGTGATGGCCATCAAACGAGGACTAGTCTGTGAATTAGATAATTGAGCCAGGAGCTCTGTACATACTCTTTTAGCGTAGGTAAATTATGTGCATTAGTGCTTATATATTTACACTACATTGCTACCATACGTTTGCTTTTACGGGATATACATTCTGCAGCTCTCTGTTGCTAATTGTTAGTTAGTTTACTTACGGTAATTCGAGCGTTAAAATTATTGTTTAAAAATATACCAAAAATTTCAGTCAAAGCGGAAAACTTAGAAGCAAATGTATGGTTTGGCGTGGTTTAACTTTTTTAAGAAGCATTGCATGTTTACAGCTTAGCTGTTTTAAAAACTGTTTGTCCTAAAATTTAGGAAGCTATTACGGGGATCTTTATATGCAACTAGTACTTATTTGTTAATAATTTGTTGATACTTATTATACTCGATTGCAAGACAGTGCCAATTGTTATTTTGTGGTCAGTTTAATATTGTTTCGTCGTAATATTGCACAAATATTAACTGTATAACTTCAGTTACCATTTTATCATTGCTTATTTATAAGGTGCACATAAGATAGGCTAACTTTGAAGTGTACTCAGTGCTATATAATATTCATGGAGTGATATTATTAACTCTATTAATGTATTATGGATTGTCTGTTGGTAAATTATAGTTCATGAATTGTAGGTGATTCTAAAGTAATATACATTTACGGAACGTTCATATGTAAACAGGGTTGGTTATATTTTATATTTATGTCAATATAAGTTTGTAAACTCGAAAGACATTTTAGATTTATTTTATATACAGTTCCTCATTAATTTTAAACAACGTCGCATGCTGTGTAACGTTTAATATTTTGAGTCATTATGTGTCATTGTCAATACTTAGTGATTTAATTTTAACATCAAATAGACATAGTACCTACTTCAGTGTTGAAATAATGTATTTATTGTTATAGTCCGAGGTGTGATTTGCTTTATGTATTGAAAGAAACCAATTGAATGTTACATATGGTAAGATTGTATTTAAGTCTGTTATAATTATAAAATATAGATTAATTAGTCATTGAAACATGGTTTTATTTAATAGCTTTTTGTTTAAATAGATGCACAATTCCATAATGCAGTTAATGTAAATACGTGGCCTTGTATTTACTAATTAGAAACATTGTATATGTGTTTAAATAATTACGACAGCTAAATAGTATTCATATCTGGACAGTATCAAGATTCTATATTAAGCATATCAGCATCACGCTACAACGAAGAAAAACGGACTATCAATGGGAGATGGGGAAAACTTAAGAGTCCCTTCCGTTGTGTGCGCTGCCTAAACCGTTAATCTCTTACTGTTTTGTTATGCAGATAATTTGCGCGCGTCGTCCTATAACTATATATTGCCACCAAGCTGATTTTTCTGTAATGTGTTTATTCGTATTTTGAGATATAGGAGTAAAGTTACAGATTGAGATATGGGAGTAAAATTAGTGTACGCAGAGCGGTCGTCAGGTGACTATGTTCGTTTTACTATTCATGATGAAAGTTTGCCATTCCAGCTATTTAAAAAATATCTAGAGGAAATAATATAACACCATTTTTAAACACTGGTCCCATCACTTAGTACAGACCCAACACCATTATCTTCACCCTATTATTTCCAGTCGATACGGTATCTTTTCTTCCGTCTATCGATAACTGAATTATCAAGTGCTCTTATTTTTGCATAACAATCTCGCAGCCTAACCGGTGTTCCCACGTCATAAGCCGGCTGATGTATGTACAATAGAAGTTCTAAAAAATCTAAGATAAGTGACGACGTTCTTTTTTTTTACTCCTTGAAAGGATAAGGTACTTGCAGATCTATATTAATAATTTCGTCAAGGGGTACGGTAGACTCGAACGAAACCTTATTTGAGTAACAAAACCTAAAGAAATATTGATTTCGAGTCGACACCATATATCCGCAAAATTCGGATTATGCAGTAGTTCGTTAAATTCTAATGACACTGACAAACAAACCGCAGTCGCCATCTTTTCATTTCACTAGCTCTTAGATACGCTTAGCCAATCAGAACATCGCGTGCGTTCGCGTGAAAAAATCGCTCACAAAGAACTGCGATTCATGCGACTGTGTAAAACCACAGATAACATAATATTAGTAAAACGAAACGTCTTGCCGGTAACATTGAGTGAACCATAACAAAATTAAATACCTACTTTTCTTCAGTCGTTGACGTTTCGCGAAAAAAATTGTTTTTGACACTTTTTTATGATAAAAAAGTATATAGTTATGTGTTTTTTCTTTAAACATTTCCGATATTTTTTACGCTATGATGGCGGCAAATAGTTTTTTTTTTATTAATAAGATTTACTGCTCTGGATACAAGTCCTTTTTGCCCAATTGAAAGTTTTACAATATAAATTACAAAAATAACAATCTTACATTTATGTTGCCAGGTATTTACAATTTTTAAATAAGGTTGTGGCACTATCGGAAATTATTATTATTTACCCATATTTATAGGTTATACAGAAGTAATGTATATTAATACGTTTATTTAAAATAAATATATAGGTTGTTGTATCGAAATAGATTTTCTTATATTTCACTAAATGCCTTTTTATAAAATAAACAAATGACCCTTTCATAGTGTCATATATTATGAAACGATCACCTATTTAAATTATTTAGCTGATTGTAAAAAAAAATGACGGTTAGTAGATTAACACTGTAAAAATTACTATTTGTACGGAAACGACAATATTATATTTTTATGCTGTATAATACTACGACAGTAATGGAAACATTAGTATATGTATGTAAATTATAAAATTCTGTTATGGAAACGTCATTTTAAACTTTAAAACTAATTTGTTAAAATAAAAGTTTCCGATTAAACAAATCGGTATCGCAGGTACACCACACCCCGCTACAGGTGGTAACATTATTTGATAATTTGACATTTATTCCTGTCAATTTAGTCTCCGGGTTTAAAAAACAAACTATAAGTGAGTATGGTTACTTGGTATCCCTGTCGCCCCGCGCCCCGCTTGTTTGCGGGGGCTCGACCCCAGAGTAGGGGCATAGCAGCTAACGCGGGGCGAGAGGGAAGGTTTTTTTTTAGAGGATGATAATGGAATGTTGCACCGGCCTGCACTAACGGTTTATGCTGGCGGGGCACCAGTGGAGGATGATAGGATGAACATAAAGTCAGATCGGTTAGCCCATCGCGACAAATTCACCGGAAATTTACCACGATGGTTTCCAGGGGGAACCGCGTGGAGGTCAACGTGCGGAAGACATAACCGTAACTATAAAAGTATAAGTTTTAGTTAAAATGTCATTGTCATTTAGCTTAGCATAGTGATTTACTTTGTTTGAATTACACACATTATGCCGAAAATTGTAAGTATTTCATGAAATCTTTCAGTGGTTTGGTCTTTTGTTTGATGATACCAGTATCATTTTGTTAACACCCGAATCTCCATGCATTTGGTAAAAATTGTCACAAATTTCAAGTACGAGTATCTAATAGCAAGCGCTTTATGTGTAGCTACGCTAGCTAATTTCCACATGTTTACGTAGGTACTTAAATATATTGATATGTGTGTATCATTGCAATAAACATCGGTGTTCTTTCATGAATCATGCGTATAATTAAATCGTAAATGAGTGGTGTGTGTAATTTTCTGATATATTTAGACACAGTTTTTTTTAACTTTCGTTATTAATATAAATTATTTATATTATTAACCGGGTCTTAACACGAATAGTTTTATAGTAAAAAAAGAATATTTACCTCTCTCGATGTTTCGACTAGTTTGCACTAGCCGTGGTTACGAGTTAACTGGAGTAACAGCGATGTGAATGTAGATAGGTGCCAGCTGTTTTTTCTTATACCTTTATTTACTATAAAATTATTCGACCCAAATAATATAAATAATACACACCGTTTATGTTATTGACGTCAAAATATATAATTTCTATCTGTACATCTGTTCAAGGTACCTAATTTCAGTAACGTTTAACCTATTTGAATGAGGTTTTCAATGATGTGTTGTAGCAAAATTTTCTCGTAACATTTAGTATTATATCAATCCATTCGTATACAAATACAGTTAGGTACAACTAATTATTATTGTACCTACATACTACACTTTCTTTAATTATTCTAATGCTGTTGGCTGCTGCTGGCTTTTACCTACAGCTTCAGATTGAAATGGGGGCAAGTGTAGAGGATACTCAAAATTCGCGAAAGGACTTAGGGAACTGAAGGCCAACCTGAAAGCTCAACTCAAGTCGTTGTAATTTCTAACTCCGTTGGAATAGCACAGTAAATTAATCTAAAATGAATAGTAACTACGCAGCTGAACGCGCGGTCATCTGTTACGCGGTAGCTTAGATATAACAGACATTTTTTTTCGAAAGGAAATTTAAAACAATTACAACACTGGATTAACTCAAACATTAACTTTGTAAAAATCACTCTAATGCTTTAACATTAAAGATTAGTTTCAAACGTTTTATCAAGTTTGGGTTTACAAAATTTGCAAGGTTTTAAAAATTTGTTTGAGTTGTGTATAGGTCTACTTCTTAGTATCAAATACATATTGAGTAGCTAAATTTTATTAATATCATTATCAAATACAAGTGTTATATTTCGCCTATTCCCTCTTACTCTGAACTGGGTTTTGTTTACTGTATAAGAAAATGCAATGAGTAATGTAGCCTTGACGCTTGTGTGTTTTATACAACGCCTACAAATTAACAAATAAATGCTCCGCCCACAGCAAAAAGCCTCTCAGGTTTGCTAAAAGATAACACAATATGGCCGAAGTTTTCTTAAACTCGTTATTTATATTTAGTAAGCGCTGAAAAAGTTGCTGCAAACAGTAAAAATTCATTTTTATTGTTGGTATAACAAACCATGTTTCAATGTAATGGAGTGGACGACCCCGTTGTGTAGCATTATTAATGAATGTTACATATATTATTTGTGTCATTAATTTAGTTTAGCTTAGTCCGTCAGCAGCACAGGATCAGCGAGCGGTTGGTTGCCACCTACACTGACGCACGGGCGCACCGCCTCACTACGATATTGAGTCCGAATGGTGCGCCCGCGCAGCACATTAACTTGATGAGAACCAGTGACCAAGTGTCTGTGAACAGACTGTGAACAAATTTCCGTGATTGTTTGTTGTGTTATTCAGACGGGTTTGTATTTTCATTATTTAATACTGGATATTTCGCATAAGTATCAAATGTAACATCAACTATTATAAACTTAAATACCTGTTTAAGGATATATATAACTATAACTTAGAACTATTTACATATTTTGTTGTTTTTCATTGAATATCATTAATTACTTATATAATTGTTGTATATACGATAAACGTAACAAACAAAATACTAATATAATATAGAATAAACAATTTGAAATTCATTTTTACGGAATTATTTGCGGAATATGTAAGTGGAAGCTAAGTTAGTTCTTGTGACGCAATTTAATTTCCGTACGTTTAAACTTTTAAAGAAATGTTTAAAATTAAGACTATTTTACCACAAAAGAGATTTCAATAATGATGAAAATAAGTACATCTCACCAATAAGTAAACACTATTTAAAAAAATCTGAGCCAAATTGACGGATATCGTGAAAACAATATCTCTCATTTATTTTATTTTCATTTATGGTTTCCTTTTCCGGTTACATGTCTCTTTCTTCATATCCATTGAAAATTCTTAACGTTAGGGTAATTATGTCTGTGCTTCATAATAAACATTACAATATCATTTGAAACTCTAATATGACATCGATCTGTCAAACCAATTGATCAAGTGAAATTATGTAGATAATGGATTTAAGTAATATTTTAATAAAAACATTAAAAATCGAAACAGTTCATCATTGAACAGACCCTGAGATTTGGTCAAGGTTAAAATGACGTCATTTATTATCATGATGTAGGACATGTGGGTTGGTAGAGCCATACAGTGCGCGACGGATGCTGTATTTGGTGTATATGTATTTCACTTGTAATTGATTAAGTGGCCGACAGCAGTGTGCTATACATATGAATGTTATGGAAATGGATAGGATTTCATCCGGTGATAGCTTACGAGTCATCAAAAAGCGAATGCACTTTGTTGGATTGCAGTCACAATTACATGCATGTGCAATCATATGATACGTATACACATTTATATAACACTCGTAATTAATTAAGTATGCAGCTAGATTACGTAGATTGTTATAATCAGATGAACTGTTTATACGAATTTTAAATGTTTACATCGCAGTTGCAGTCATCATAATAAAATGTTTTATAGTTATAAAGTCTATCAACTTTCTACATATCTTTTAAACAAACAATACTTTTCAAAATGTACTGGATATAGCCAATTACGTTATTAACTTAGTAGGTAACACTGAAAAACTCTAGTAGGCTTTAGGTAATGTAATAACTAGATGACACGGTAATACGGTAATTCTAGCCCACAGTATTTTATGTGTACGATCTGTTGATATAATGGATATGGATATCTATATGACTTTAATTTGAGAGTCTTCAGAAGTCTCAAGTATCGGTGGATGAATTGTTAGTAATGAGAACTAGTAGCCTTATTGCTGACAATGTACTAAGTCAGGTCGACCTCAACGCCGTCCTACCTCTGACCTGATTTCATGCTCATCCTATCGAACTCCTGGTGCCCTACCAACTTATACAGATAGCGCAGGAGATTTTTAGTAATGGAAGTTCTACCTGACATAATATATGATTACCTTATTACTATAAGGTCAACCTGAACCTGACATAATAAATTATTAGTTATAGGGTCACTTCCTATTACTAATAATATATTATGTCAGGTTGATAATCATGTGGTCCCCACTTAAAACCAACATGGATAATTAATTCGCAATAATGAGTTCACAGACCTGGTACGCTCATATGTCATCTTCCACAGTTGCGTGAATTATAAATTTACAGAAGTAGAACTTTGATTAAGTTAAACTAGTTAGTATCAAGTTTTCTCTTGTTTGAACAGAAAACAGCGGGCAAAATCTATCTATTACGTCCATACCATATACAAAGAACTGTTGAAATATTTGTTTTTTCATAGACTTTCGAAAAACACGTAAATATACTGCTTTATTGAAATTAGGTTTATTTTATTATAGCAAACTTGTGTAATTTTGTAATTACATTATTTTTAGATACGCATGAGTTTACAGAAATGTTAGTGTTGAATTGGATAAATTACACATGTTTCCTATCGCACTGAATCAACAGTGGTGAAGGAATTTAAAATTAGGATATCTGTTAGAGTAGGTACGCTCAAAGATATTTCCCTTTTTATTTTACTGAGGTAGACTATGTATAAAGTCGGTTCTGTGGGCACCTCATTTTAAATAGGTGAAACATAGCTGAGGTCACCTCAGCTATGTTTCACCTATTTCAGTCGCCAAGCAACTTGCTCTGTAAGTTTAGTCCTACGTACGCAACGGCAACGTGTGAACGGTATCTCGAACAACATAATGTCGTGATGTTTTAGATGCTGTTTATGTATATAGGCAACGGTTGCGACTTTGCCATAATCACATGGGCTTCCAACCTGTTTATTATTTCAGTTATATAAAATAAATATTCCAAATTACCTGAATACACATAAATACCTATAAATCGATGTATTAGATTAATTAGATGTAAGGTTAGGTATGTAATAAATTTGCCAGTTTCCCTGTCAAATATAAATCGAAACTGTCGAGGAGAAATAGTGAGTAATGAGTTTGATAGACGCGACATGACCTCACGAATACAACTTGTGTACGGTTTAAAAACTCTATCATTGGAAATTCATTAAGTTGCACAAGCACTGATACCTGCCTGCATACAAACTGCAAGCAAGTATTCCTAGTCAGTATTTTCTCACGGTTGTCGTGAGGAACTTTTAGAACGTTATTATGTAGCTCTGCAAGTTGATTTTGTAATAGTTAAATAACTTTAAACAACTTATAGTGGATCAAGTCTTAACACGTAGTACGTTTCAATGATACATAAATGAAATATATCTTTACTTAAAGATTTAACTAGTTAGCACTAGTTATGTCACGATTAAACTTTTTTACCTAGATCCTTGATCACGGCTAGATGCATATAATGAATTAATGCAATTTTGTTGTTAAGTCTTTTAAAATAAATTGAAAATGACTGAAAATGAATGAAAACATTTGGTAATTGTGGTGCGGCTTGTAACTAATCATCATCAATGTCATTTAGTATTTATCGTCGTTATTATATTTGTCGTTAAACTACCAATTTTGATCTAATTCAAAACATATCTTAGTAATAGAGTTACATAATCCAGTCACTCGTGTATAAAATGTGTCCTTTGCCGTCTCAAATCTAAATACTGCATTGGTACATTGTTATATGGTAGTTACCGATTCGCCCACGAGCGCGTCATCGATGTGCCGAATATTTTATTTTTTTTTTTTTTTTTTATTTTATTTATTCATTTCAATATTAATTTAATATGGAAGTTCGATTTGCATTGGACTTCAAACCTGACGAATAAATTACCAGTAACCATATTAGTGCTCTGAGAACGGTATCCCATATACGAAAACAATTTTGATAAATATTTACCATCGCATTCTAGATATGTTGAACGTCTTAATATTTGGAAGTGACAAATGGCGATCAAACAAATATTTTGTAAGTTATTACCTAGAGAAACTTGAGAAGTTATTATTAACCACAATAGACGACTCGTAATGAGGAACACCTGCATAATGTATAGTTGGCGAGAAGTAATAACCTCGTTATAAGGTAGAGATATTGTGGCATCGTAGTTGGCTTAACTATATCAGTAATTTTATGTTATTACACAATGAAGAGAGACAATTATTAGAAATAAAAGGCTCCAATTGATCTGTCATAATAGGAAACTTTGCGAAATTTGTCTATATTAATACATTTTTTATGCTCATGAAGTAAAAATAATACACCCAGCAATCACGATTCCAAACAATGCAAAAAGATAACATAACTTTCAATCCAACGGATATTCAACGTGCGTAACCGACGGAAGGCGTTCAGCTTAACTAATGTAGAAATAGCAAAGATCACTGTAATAACAGTTAATCGAATCGCTTCAGTGACTCAAAATAGAAACTTTAGAATTTGAGCACTTGCTCGCACTTTAGGGTGTCGTAAATGATCTGCAGTGTTGCGCGAATTTTTATGGGCTATTAAGCATTTGATACACAGTTCATTGGAGCTAATCACATCAAAACTGGCATATGTTGGTACGCCAATTTAAACATACAAAAATATACAGTCCAGTTTATATTGCTCTTGTCATGATTAAAAACAGTGCTACCAATATATACTTACTTTAGGTAGGTATTTAATAAATAACAGTTAAAATTATAAAGAATAGAATAGACTATAATTTATTGACTCTCAAATGCAAAATACATATACAAAACAATAATAAAGTAAGCAATAATTTACAACATAATATAATGAATATACGTATAAAAACATTAGCAAAGTATAATGAGAGCCGATGTGGACCATAACAAAACATTATACTGGAAATATAGATTCCAGCGTTAATTTTCAGTTGGTCCAACAGTTACAAATCCATATACAGCATAATTATGTTAACTTAGTGTATTGTGGTACCTACCTACATGAAATTATTATTTTAAAATGCATGACCAAACAGAAATATTGACTGCTTGGCATGTTTACTCTCTAATACAGTCGATTATTTCATGCATTCCGTGAGAATACCTATATATGCTGCTGTCACACTCACACCTTAATTGTTAAGTGGAAGCAAAGCAAATCATGTATGTTATAACCGTAAATGTTTAATTTACGAGTACTAAAGAGCTAAGCGAAGAGAAAATGCTCGTTTTCGGGTCGAACATATTAAGTACAAAGTTGACAAAAGCGCCGTACCACTGTAGGTAGAGAGGAATAGCAAATTGAAATGTCGTGTGCGGAACGGAAGGCTTTCAACTGTCGGTATGTATAGTTGGTCAAGCACCGGATATGTGGCAATGCTGTCTGCCATCAATGCCAATTTAATACGCTTATTCTGGCCTGCATCAACGCACGCATATGGAAAGTTCTTCCTCTCAAAGCTTATTATTAGTCACGATTCGTCCATCCGATATGTTGATGTTACTCTACC